GTACATGTACAGTACAACCTGGTGTAAGCGACCTCTGCGTTTAGCGACCACCTGCTCTTAACGGCCGTTATTCCATGCACAGACAGTTCTACACAGACACTTTGCGCCTGGTTTTAAAGACCACCTGGCTTTAACGACCGTTTTTTGCCTGCACCGTGGGGTGGTCGCTTAATTAAACCAGGTTTTACTGTACATGAACATGTAGTTGGATTGTATCGCTCAAAACAGCGTTTGATGCCTGGGGGCTAGTGGGGGTAGAGTTCTGGAGCACAGCAGTTCGGGTGGTCGGTTGCAACTCCGAGCTTTACGTTTAGCAATCATCCGATAACACAATAAAAGCACATAAACCTAGGGTGGTGATAATGTCAGCGACTGGGAACCGGTTTCATAATAATTATGAAACCTACCAGTAAATCGTGAACAGCTTACCCGACTTGAGTCGGTCCACGGTCCCCGATGGCATGTTGCCGCCAGATGTGTTTGCATCTCATTTCAGGCAAGGACGTGTGTCTACGCTGGTAAACAGCCCTCCTCTCAGTGGTGTATGCAGCCTTCGTTTGTGACGGAAAGAAATCCTGAAGAAAAGTAGAAATACTGGAGACTAAATCTTACGCAGGTCATTGGCTCCCATCTCCACTGAATTGAAAGACTGACAAACTATGCCCTTACGGCATCATCAGGGTATTGATGATAGATGCCGCATTGTTGAGGACCAGGAAACGGTCACGAAGTATAAATACAAAACAATACTGATGGTGAATGAACACATCCTTCGCACACATCCTGCGCGCACATTTGACGGCAAGCCCACCATCACATTCCTCACTTGTAAGGTGAACTAAAAAAACACAGAAGCAGTGGAACACTTGAGCCACCGCAGCACATTACGGAGGAATCTCACGTCTTATTGAACTCTTTAGGAGAATATGCTTTTTAAAGCATCCATCACCTACATGTATAACTACATTTTGTTTTTATTCCATTTCTCATTTTTCATTCGTGTTGGGTTTAACTATTCACTGTACTGATTGATACATGGTGAGTATTGTGCTTCGCTTTGCCCGTAAAAGAGGCCTTCCGACTATAAAGGTGATGAATGTATGTCATACATGCATGTGCACAAAGTGTATGCATGTGCTGGGTCAGGTGGTAACCTTTAGTGGAAATTCCAAGTGATAGAGATGTCGACATGCAGCTACCATCCGTGAGATCAAATCAATTTTAAAAGGGGGCAGACTGGTCATCGCAGTTGACTGGTAGCTGACTGGTCATCGCAGTTGACTGGTAGCTGACTGGTCATCGCAGTTGACTGGTAGCTGACTGGTCATCGCAGTTGACTGGTAGCTGGCACTTCCGGACTACTACTAAACGATGTTTTTGTCGCTTGATTGTATTTTTCCAATTAGCGGTTACAAAACGCACAAAGGAAGCGAATAGCAAGGAAGCGAATGGATGTGTCATGAAGTACGAGGAGAGATCAAGCAGAATGTGGCTTCAAGTAGCTTCCTTTGCGGTAACAAAGCTTCCTTGAATCCTTGCCCAGATTCTTTGGAAGAGGAAATTATTTTTAAAACTGTATTGAAATACAGTATTTTGTACAATGGTAGACACTGCTAGACACACCAAAAAGCCTTCGCTACCCTCGCTCTTCCGTCCCGGTAGTGCATAGTGAATCGGCATCTCACCGGCCGCTCCATCTCACCAGCGTACAACGTACAAGAAATACAATGCAACATGTGTGTCAAGTAGAATAGACACCAGCTTTGAGGCTTTGACCAAACACTGACTGTTCGCCAAGCTCGCATCATGTGCGGGTCACTCCATTGGCCAAGCTCTCTTCGCTTCCGCTCGTTGCTTCTCACGCGGACAAGCAAGACTAGTGCGCTGCTCGCCGATAGTACCAACGTGTCCCTCAAAGACGCTGAGAAAGATGGAGGTCTCAGCTCAGGTGTTCTCTCCTGTGTAAAGAATACACCTAGTTTTACGTGTGAAAATTCCCGGAAGTAAAAAGTAATACAATGTGGTTGAAATGATGGAGAGACTCTCGCACGCTTCCAGTAAGAATGCGGTAGTCATGACACGATATTCGCCCTTGTCGTAGATGGACTCCTGTTCCACAGGCATTAGTCAATCCTCAATCAAATCACGTTACTGCATCACACCCTGCATCATTGATTGGCTTCTGATGTGTGTACCATCAAGGTAATAATTCAAGACGCACGAGGCAAGACAATGCTACAGACTTGACCACAAAAGATATAAAAGAACGAAGCAAACTCGCGAACTCTACCTGCATCCGGCGAAATGCGCGAAATGGCAATCAGACGTGCCAGGTAGTATCAATGCATGAGCTCAGGCTAGAGAACAGCACAAGTGCCGATTGCACTGTGCCCAGAGCACAAGCCCAGGCCAGAGGGTAGAACCGTCAAAGCAACTGGAGACGTCCGTTCCAGCACAACGCAGGAGACCTTCAAAGCTGCAGCACTACCTTACGCAATTGGTCATTGACTGTGCCTGTTGTACTCCTTGCTAAATACCTGCAACAGTACCGAATGCCATGTTTGACAAATGGATCCGTACCATTGATCTTCAGCCGACTATCATTTCCAGTGCATACGCACTTTTTCTCTCTTTCATTCTTCTCTCTTCGCTACCTTGTTATTGGGAAGAAATTCCCGTTTGGATTTTGTGAGCTACACCAATCACTAAAAGAAAAAGGGATATTAAATTACTCTCCAATAATTTTATATCTTTGAAAGGATTGGGAGAACTTCAAATACAAAGGATCAGTTGGGGAAGTGAACTGCCTGAAAAGAGAAAAAAACGCCAGACTCACCAGGACTGGTGGGTGTGGCGTTTTTTTGCTTTTTTTTGCTCTTAAGTCCATTTCTACTGACACGTATATGACCTAGTAGCACCTCGTTTTTCTCAGAATAAGCAGTAGATACAGTACGGCGACAAGTACTGTACTTTTGCAGTGTCAAAACAAAATTTCCAACGTGCAGTGAAACTTGGCTATTGGACACGTACATGTACATTACATGTCGCGTCGAATGTTAGCATTGAGGTACATGTACCGGTATGTGCAGCTAGCAGGTACGTGATACTATTTACATGCCTGCATTACTATAATTATCAGACTGCAAACACGAGAGAGAGAGAGAGAGAGAGAGAGAGAGAGAGAGAGAGAGAGAGAGAGAGAGAGAGAGAGAGAGAGAGAGAGAGCGAGAGAGAGAGAGAGAGAGAGAGAGAGAGTGAATGAGAGAGAGAGAGAGAGAGAGAGAGAGAGAGAGAGAGAGAGGGAGAGAGAGAGAGGGAAAGAGAGAGAGAGAGAAGCGTCAGACGGTTCGGCGTTACACTTCAACTGAGAGAATAGGTATTGTAGCCCAAGTACTGACAGGAGAAGGAATAGGTGGGTAGAAAACGGTCAGAGTCTAAGGAAAGAAGTGCAATTGGTCCTTACCAATTGTGCAAGCTCAAGCTGGATACAGATCTATTTCAATCCTTGGTGCTGACCGCTTTAATGCGCTTCCCGAATCCCTTCGCACAAATCATATCCCCAATTCATTTCGCCAGGAACTTCACAATTTCATTCATCTTGGGCACCCTGTAAGAAGACCTTAGGGTCTGTTGGGAATACCCAAGTAAAATAATAAAATACAATACAATACAATACAAATAGGACAATTGCAACCTGAACTTATTTACTCGAAATACGTGTAGATAATACGATAGAAGTCGCAGCAATGTAAGAAGGAGAGCACTACTTGCAAGCGATGGCAGTGCTGTAACGAAGAAATGATGAAAATGAAAATGAAAATACCAAAAATCCTTTGCATAGACAAACAGTCCAAAGGCTAGCTTGTAACTACATGTATTCTTAAATGCTTTGAAAGACTTCAAGGCTGCAGTTGGACAACACTCACATGTGAATAGCTGCAGCTTAAAAGCTGATCGATCCCAACATTGTGATACAACTACTGTCGCTTCCATATGTTTCACTTTAACTGAAGTTGTTCTTCCGTCTGAGCTTTGGGAACTCTACGCCGTACAACCCATCCCTACTCCATCACCTACACCATCACTGTTGGCGCTGCAGTCATGGACAATTCTTTAGCCACTAGTACATGAGGTATTATATAAACATGTTTTTCCTCTTCGTCGCCGCTCTTGAATCGCATCAACTACATGCCGTGATCAGTTCAGGAGAGACAAGCCATGCCATTGGACATCGGGCTCTTTCTTGCAGTTAGTGTTTTAGAAGTATAACTGTAGTTTCACACTGCCTAGGCCCAGCCATCAAATTCTGTGACAGGGAAAGGATTCTTCTACTGCTGGTGTCGCATATTGTGATAGGTTACCTCCAGGTACTCGGATTTCGTTTTTTTAACACTCCACACCACTTAGCTACTCCCTCTTGCTGCAGCATGCTACTCGTAAGGCAGTTGTCCTAGAGCTGTTGAGCTGGTAAATATGCTGTGTGCAAATGGTAGCTGACCACCACGGTTGGTGTGTTCAAATCATGGCACTAACACTAGCCGCTCTTGTAGATTCGAATCAAAGCAGTACTCACAAAGTAAATTTAATGTCTTCATTCCAGCCCGATGAAGTTAGCGAGGTCTGAAACTTTCCAAAAATAAAAGTCACAAAGTCAAAGATCTCCGAAAAATGGTTGGAGAAAGTTCGAAAAATTATTTTCGATATGTGTAATGTAAAAAGTTTTTCGGCAATTTTGAATTCCTATCGAGGGTGATTTCGGGACCTTTGGACGCGATTAGACACACCATACTTGGCGAAGATGCTCTTGAAGACACAATAAATGCAAAATTTAACACCGAAAAACCCATGTTAGCCAACATGTGTCAAGGCATGTATTTAGAGGTCGATTTTGTTGGCCCCTGCATCAAGATGTACGTGTGTAGCACTCTTATCTTGGTACTACTGTACTTTTTTTATATATTTAGTACAACATCTCAAGACTCGGGGGAAACACCGGCCAATGTTATTAAGAGAGTGGGTGATTTCCAACCACGGCGATAAATAAAAGTCTATTGCTCATCACTTCTTTTTCAGATTTGGTATCATGGAAAGTTTGGGAACCCGCTCGATAGGCGAAAGCCTTTGGGGAATAAAAATTACAAATAATGGGGTGCGCCTGCACATAAGTATAAAGTAAATAAAAAAAATGCGCCTGCAGATGCCCATGTCAGTATACGTTTAGGCTTTTGGGAAATTGCAAACAGACAAAGAGAAGTGTTGTGCAAAGCCATGCTCCACCCCAGCTGGATCAGTGACGGCAGGTTGAAGAGACGAGCGTAAACTTCATCGCTATTCTTGTACTGCTTCTTGTCACGTAGCCAACCAGGAAATCGCTTTCATCTTTACCTTCTGATATTCCAAAAACAAAACAAGCCACTAAAGTCGATCGAGGCCCGGCTGTGCAGCATCTGATGGTTGTGTGATATTCAGTAAAGAAAGAAGAGAGGGAGTTTGGTCCGTCTCCCTGCGCAAGGACTCTTAATTAAACCTTCATATTCACATAAACGCCATCTTTCGCTGCAGAGCCTCCGTGACTTATTCCAGTATCGGCGGAGTTGGTCTTCACAGTCGGTGTAAGAGCCATCGGCGAATTGGTTGTCTTCTTCTTGTTCGTTTCGTCGCGTGGCGTTTTCTTCTTCAAGTCGACCATAGTGTAGGACTGCACCCGCACAGCTGTCGTAGCAGCAGTAGCTGTGCTGACGTTCGGGCAGGGTTGCAGTACGGTAGGTGTGTACGACGAGATGCGCTGCGGCTTGCTAGGAGCACTGACGCTGTCTCTCTTCCGCACGGCTGCGTGAGGCACGCCGTCATCTGCTTGTCCACCTGTTGGCATTGTTGTCACCGTTTCCTGGTCCACATCATACTTTTCGTAAACATCAGCATGTGAATTCTCTACGTCAGGAGGTGCATTGCTCTTGGCTGTTGCTTCCGACTGCTGGCGAGGTGCGGCTACGGGTGGCATAATGCAATCGGATACCGCCAGAGTCTTCATGATGTCATCGAGATCGTCGTTCAAATGCGGATCAGCGTACATATGCTCATCTTGGCCATCGTCGCTGACCAGATTCTCCATACTGCCCAGGTGCCTGCCAATGGGTGTGCTGGGCACGATTCCGCTCGGTCGACTCTGGTCTGAGAGGCTACTCGTGCCGGCACTAATGCAGCTGTTGCAAGGTACCGAGTCCGATGATACGATAGGGCGGTCCTTACGCTGGCTTGATAAATTGGACATAATATCCGTGGGTTGCGCATATTGCTCTCCAGGCACGTCCGGCTCTTCCTTGGCGTTTGTTTGGCCAGAGTCCAGCATGTCTTGGCTGCGAGACCTATAGCGAGAGAGTATGAAGCAAAGCGGTAGAAGCAAGGCAGCCAGTACCATGACCACCATCACGACTATGACGGATAGACTGGCGGGCTGGGATACCCAACTGACCTGCTCCTCTGTAGAGTGAAGCAAAAAATACACACAAAGAAGAGTGCTCGTTTAGTAGAGTTCAAACAAATCTACTTGCAAGTAGGCGCATCGATCAGGGATACATTCTGTGAAACATTTGGAAAGCGAAAAAAAAACAATACTGATTTTGCACACGGATATTTGTCGGGTATTGACACTATCCAACAGGACGGGAACCCACTCGGGACTATGTGCAACTCAGAGTTTAGTGCTGATAGAACAGACCAACACTAACACAGCCACGATATTCGCAAGTCAGAACCTACAGCAGATAGTACAAAACTGACGAGTGGCACTGCAAATAAATGACCTCATGTGTAGCTCCATCACAGCCCGAATGTACAAGACAACAGCTTTCCAACGTGGATTTTATGAAAAAGACGACAGAGAGTCTTCCTTTTTCAATTTTAGTCCTTTGTTCTCCTTCTACGGCAGCTGTTCTTGGTTCAGGTGGGCAAACTGAGTAACTACAGAGTGCGGTACTCACACTCGGTGGTTGCTCACCCATGTTGTTTTTACCGAAGACACAAGCTACTCGTAAGAAAAGTGGAGAGAAGCAACAGGCCAACACAACAATAGGAAGAGTAGGGGCTCCAAGAAGGAACCTGTGCTGGTGAGGCAGGCCAACAATTCCGACCTGTGGACTGGTCTCTGCGGTACCACGAGCTTGCGCACCATGCGAGTTTATGGGGAGAGGAGAGAAGACAACGTGGAGATGGGATTATTGGGAACCCACGACACAGGCAAAACCAGTATAATTACCACAGTTGTAGGCATGTGCACTTTCAGAAAAAAATTAAAAAATTAAAAAGTTATATTCACTGAAGAGCGGAACACGAAAATCGATTTTGAATAATATAAAAAATCCTTTAAAATTCCATTACCTCGTTGTTGTCTGGCCATGTCTGCATCTATTATACTCTTTATTGCACTTATACATGTATTCAATTATAGCCTCTTAACAGTAAGCATCTCACCAGTCGCCTTCTTCACACAAGCCGGTGCTAATCCAGTCCAGTCGCCGTCCATCTTACACTTCTGTGTTCGCGAGCCCTCCAGTTCGTAGTCATCATTGCAGTAGTAAAATACCTCCCGACCGGCGAGTGGAACCTCAATGTAGCCAATGAGCTCGCCATTCGGAGGTGCTTCCTGCTTCCTGCACTTGGCCTCTGTGACGTCACATGGAATAGCGGACAACAAACATCCACGAAATACAAAAAAAGGATTACATGTGGTCTGTTGATTGAGTTATTATGTCGTGAAATATTGAATCGGTTTACAGCCGATGCGCCCGCATGAGCAATGCGTACGATACCGTATGTAATAGAATACATAATTCAAGTTCAAAGGCCAACCAATCCGCGTGTGTCTATTGTTTCCACTGCATTTAGTGTTTACCTGACAACATGATGACGTGGCATGATTTTTAAACTCTTACTGCAGCCCCTGAAGATCCTTCTGAGGCAACAGTTCCGCAAAGATGTACTCCTTTTTGCATAGAGACAGGCCCAAAGTAGAGAGGAAAACGTACAGAAAATACCCCATACCCAATACCCAACAATTGGCAATTACAGTGGTCAATCGCGCACTCATAGTTTGGTAGGAATATTACCTTCACATTTCCCCGGGGGACTGGACCAGTTTCCACTCGGCATGCACTTCGACGGCTCTGCCTGCGTGCTTCGGTATCCCTCTTTGCACGTGATGTTGAAAGCACTGTGAACCTCCAGTCCGTCCAGCAAGAGGTATCCATTCTCTGGTCGCGCAGGTGCTTGACAGTGTATTTCTGAGCATACACAAAATGTGCATATGCATACGGATAGTACGGGGACGGCAATGAAAAAGTCGACAGCCAGTAGGACATTTAACATAACGTAATTATTATTATGATGTGTTCCAAAAACCTATATTTGTATGTGCAAATATGGTTTATTGCTCCGACTCCAGTTTCATGCCTACGTCCATTTGAAAGGTAACGCGGTCCGTTTACACAAAGGCACACAATGAAAAGGTGGTTCCTGGTCAAGGTGGTTCTTGACCAGGGAGTTGTACGACTCCTTGTTCTTGACCTGCTGTGCGGGATGCTTGGAGCTGGACACCTAATGGCTGTAGAATAGGACAAAGGGAATTTAAATCCAAGTCAGGATTCTTTTTCGGAATTTGCCCAACACGTTTAAAAGGTATTCACGAGTTGAGGGAATGAAAAAGGGAAAAGTCTGAAGACAAATAACTCTCACCACCAGGACACGAACCAGGGGCCTTACCTTTTTAAAAGATACTATGTTGGCAAATTAAGCTAATCCCGGTACACTTTCTCTTTACCGGTTTCCAGGTGATCTGCTGTGCGAACGTATCTGTCAACAAGACCCTCGGTGCGTTTGGCCATACTGTGCATTTGCGCACATCGCCTCAGAAGGTCTGCTACTTTCATAACTCTTTCGTAATTTTGAAGTACACGAATGGAAGTAATCCGTGCGCTTCCCCATCCGGTTGCGCTTGTGGCTTTTTTTGAGCACGCATATCATTCTATTCTTATCATTTTTCTATGTGCTACCTGTTCAACAAAAGCCCTAATGCTATTGATGTGTATCTATATTCATTACGTCATATTTGTACTGCATGCACGCACACACACGGATTAGTTGAGTGTGCTTCTTTTTCCTGTTGTTCTTTCTCATGACATGTTTTGTTTCCGTTCCCAATTCCAAAGTCTTCAGGAATAAATAGTAACGTATCATGGCGCAGTGAACTTGTTCTTTCCTGTGTCCGTGCCTTGTGTCCGCACCTTGTAGTGTTTGCACGGGCCCAGTTGTTTTTTCCGTCTGAAGTAGTAGTTTCCGCGATCGAAACTCTGTCTCAGTTGAATTATTTTAGTAGTGTATTTGTTCGTACTCGTGGACGAGTGACTAATCGTAATGGAACAATCACAGGACGATACCGGATTTGACCTGTCCTCCGCGACCGAGCTACAGCAGGAATCTCAAATGGGTGTCCTGATGAGATTTATGGAGCAGCAGATGCGTGCAGCTGAGGCTCGTGATAAGGCGATGCAAGATCTGTTCAAGAATGTTCAGAGCAGGTCGCCATCACCATCGCAGCCTCAGTTCAACCCGCAGCCCTCAGCACCAGCTCAGTCCACCTCGCAGACCTCAGCACCATGGCTAGTGAATAGTGTTATAACTAGTAACGTATCAGCTATGACGACTGTAGATGGCCAAGTGGAGAAGTGCCAAATAGAAAGGTGAATTTGATGTTTCTGGCGGGCACTCTGGAATAAGCCAAAATGGCTTCATGACTCAATTTGCAAAAGAACCTGAGAAGGACTCCTACTCCGAGGACGTCTCTAGCCCTGTATCTCGCTGGCATCGAAAAAGGCCAATGTGGACTACTCAGAAGTCAGGGATGAGAACTTCGACCTCAAAGTGGAAAAAAAAGGTAAGGGTGTCACAAAACTGAAGACCTTTGGATTCAGGAAAAATCACTTCACAGCTCCAAACTCCAAAAACGGTCTCTTCACTGCAATTAAAATTCAAAATTACATTACACCAATTTATCAGCACTGGCCCATCATCAGGGTACCGGTACCGAATAGGGTCCAGCAGATAATGCTCCAAAAATGTTCGTATAATGCTAATCATAATGCTCCAGAAACTACCTCATAATGCTGATTATAATGCTTCAGCAAGGGCTATAATGCTCGTGGTTTGGAACAAAAATGGAAGAAAGGCTGCACGTTGTCAAACTTCCAGGAAAAGATGCATAATTGTAGTCGATCTGCATCTGAAGCTGCTATGATATCTCTCACGAGCTTCACCACTTCTTAGCACTGTACGACATGATCGCGTCTCCATTGGCTGCTCTGCATTGCAACTTTGATGCAGGGCTGTGGCTGAATAATGGGTGTATCAAATCTCTTCCCTTCCTTATCCATGTAGTGAGTGGTGAAACCATTACTGCTCATGATCATTTGGGTGCTGGAAGCTTATCTTGGGAAGTGATATTCCTGCCTGCAGACAAGCTGTCACTGCTTCCACTCTGTGAAAAATATCTTCATCTGAAACAGCTCAAAATAAGCTCACGTCAGGCCAGTGACGATCTCAGATCGAGATCCCTCCCATTTGCAGTAATCCTGAACACACGTGGTCAGAAGTTATTTTGCCGCTCTACATCCTTTGTTTGCGCTGTCTTCTTCTCCTGACGTTGCGTGGAGACAAACGGTTGGCCACGATACTCTTCTTTTCTGATAGCACTTGACTGTATGCTATGCATTACAATCATCCATGCCGAACTGTACGTGCTTCACCAGGAAAGTAAGACATGTGCTGCTGAGCACTCCAAATCGTCTTGGTACGCGTCCAAGAGAAATTCTAGTTCTTTTCGAGCCTGCTGAGCTTGACTCGGCAAAGGCAGTTATTTGGAACAAGCTCTTTCTGTTTATAGCCGCTCCTTCATCCAGGTCCAAATTTATCAATGGATCAGTGTTCACTTCAGTATCGCAAGAGATGCTAGGGCCAGAGCCTATGGCATAACACTTTTTATTAACAGGAAACTCCTCTTCGTCTGTTTGATATTCACTTCGCTTACGTCTACTTTAGTCTCCTCCATGATTCTCCATGATTTCTAAACAAAACTTCCTCGTAAAACATCGTTACGGATTTTGTGTAACAGCCTCAGTTGCAACGTTGGGCATGCTACATGATACATCACATGTACATTTACCTGACTACATTGCTACATAAAGACTTTATGTAGCAATGGCATTATGTGGTCAGGTAAATATAGCATTAGTGCTAAAGCCGTAAAGGTGTTACGTGTCTACACAATCACAAAGTCATGTGCCGGTACAATACATGGCGTTGCACCTCAAGGCTTTAGCCGATTGTTGCCAAAAACCTGAGATTTCCCGACATTATCCACTATGAAACTCGTTATGCCGCCCAAACCTCACATAATGCTTGTCTTGTTCCTGTCTAATGCTCCATAATGATCTGATGCTCGGATAGTCTCATAATGCCGAATATAATGCCGGCATTATCCGCTGGACCCTACTACTGAACCTGATGATGGGCCAGGCCCAAAATTTGGTGTAATGTAATTTTTAATTCGAATCGCAGTGAAGAGACTGTTTTTGGAGTTTTGAGTTGAGAAGTGAAGTTTCCTATATGTGTAAGTGGCTGCGTTTGGAGTTTGCGGACAATTAGAAAAGTTTAACTTAGGTGAAAAAAGAAGCACACAATGTTACGAGTTATGACTAACTGTCCAACAACGTAACCAGATCTTATATAGTCAGCGAGTTAAAGTTTACCTTTGGATTCGTCAAACAAATTCACACTGGCAGGTTGGCATTGGCGTTGGTTCATTTTCAAAGATGCAGGTTGGGCGGATGAAGGAGGGGGGGGGGGGAGGGGGAGGTGCTATTCAAACAACGAGAGAGCTTGGAAGCTCAAAGCCCTACGCTATGCTACTTTGCCTAGCGAGAGTCAACTTTCTCTTTGCATTCGAGGGTAATACGACGTCGTCTACCACCTTGATGACCTAGGTTAAAAAGGCATAGGGATGTTATAAATTTATCATTTCTCCTATTTGTTTTAGACATAACCTAGGATTCGAACCCACACTATGGCCCTGCATGCATTCCCCCGATACACTTCGCATACATACTTTCTTCCAAGTTGCTTCACGTTATGACCTTGCATTTGAAAGCCCTATTTGAATATTGTGGCCACCCATCTTTGAGGGCACGGAACGGGACAGGTACAGGATAGCGCCAGGCATGCTGATGCTATCCTTGATGGTACAGTAAGGGACAGGTACGGGATAGCGCCAGGCATGCCGATGGCACAAACAAACAAACACGAAATTAAAGCTGTGTGAACCCTGGATAGCGCCAGACGTTACTGAAGTAACGTCTTTTGCATAGCTACGGGAATAATTCATTTTTGCCACATTCATTCACGTCACTTTTCCTTTCTCTGTATCCACTAGATTGCATAGATTCATTGTGTCAGAGCGGCATTCAATAAACAGCGTAATGACCAGGGGATAATGGTGGAGCAAAAGGCTCACCCTCCCGGGGAAATCCCCGAATATTTCCTGATGAGTTCACATGCACTCACCTTCACACGTCGGGAGGCTTGTCCAACCGCCGAAACGCATGCACTCCACCGCACTGTTGCCCACCAGTCGGTAGCCTTGTGAGCAGTTCACTTCGACTTGCTGTCCAATATCATAGTATTTATCTATCAAGTCAGTGCTGTGAGGGATTCTCGGAGGAGGACACTGAATGGCTGCACAATTGCAAAGGGAATTTAAAACCAAGTCAATATCCATTTTATACTATGTGGTTGAATTGAGCTCATTTGAATACACTCCTGTGCACAAGACCTTCCACAAGACCTTCCATGCTTTTGGTGATACTGTGGATCAGGGACTGAACACGTGAGCTGGGAAGGTACGCTACTTTCAGGTAATACATGAAGATAGTTTGCTGAATTGAGCTCATTTGACCGCACTACTGTGCTATACACTAACATTACAGGTAATATAATTATGTGAGAACACAGAAGGCAACAAGACCTTCAGTGCGTTTGGATGTTTTGCACCAGACACTGAACATTTGCGCACTTCACCTCAGGAAAGTCTGTTAATTTCATGAGGTTATACTTGTACATGAATGAAATCACAAGCAATGCCACTATGCCAGTTGAACGATCAGTTTTTATTTACCGCAATCAATAAAATGAGTTGAACCGACATTTTGTGTACTTTATTCATGCAATGTAAAAACGGTGGAGACGATGTGCAATAGAACGATGAAAATATGAAGAGTGTTATTTCTCTAACTTAGATTTTCTATAATAGCTCAATTTTGTTTCAGTGTCCTTTAAGTACAACGATGATTCCTGATGAGTGTTGTACGAAAACTTGTTTGAATCCATATTTTTTCTCCACACCATTTCTTCATATTTTCATTGTTTTATTGCACATTGTCTCCACCGTTTTTACATTGAATGAATAAAGTACACAAATGTCGGTTCAGCTCATTTTATTGATTGCGGTTATCAAATAATTGTCTCCTCGCCGTTTGATTTATTTAATTATTTATTTTATACGAAAGTCCACTATATTTCCGAATTTTGCGAGAAGTGGTGGCGGGGCCAGGCTGCTCTGCTGACCCTAAAGGTCTCGGCGTCTACGTAGACAAAGCGTGCCACAATGCAGTAAAACCATGAGGAAGGGAGGAGGAGGGGAAATAAATAATAGTGAGGAACGAGAACAATGGGTAGATGGTCGTGAGAGAAGCAGAGTGAAAGATAACATCACATTGTGGTAAGGAGGGAGGGAGGATGCTAGTGAGGCGCAGGTCTAAACCATTTCATGGGAAGTCGGTGGCCGTTTGCCAGTTCATGTATAGCAGATACTTGTTGCACTTTTCCTTGAAGGACTGGAGCTGTCTGGTTTGCGGCCGTGCTGGTAGAATGGTCGCTGGTGGGCTGTTCCACAAGGGAAAATTGAGTTTGGGTAGGAACCCTGGAGGCTGCTACGAGTGCGCACGGGCAGCGTTGACTTGAGTTTGAGCAGGTGGCAGTGTGCACTCTCCGTGGCTAACCTAATGGATCGACCACCCACTGGGCGTGGTTGGCTGAAGGCCTTTGAGGCCACGGCCCGGAGGTGTGCTGAGTAGGACAGTTGCGAATCGAATGCTACTCCCAGAAGTTTAATTTCCTTCTCTTCAGGAGCAGTCACGCCATTGAAGAGCACTGGGGGGGGGAGAGCTCGGGGAGGCTCGCGGTGGTCAATGATGAAGGCCTGAGATTAGGATGGTTCGAAGTTGACCTTCCACTTGGAACCCCGGTGGGAGACGGCGTCCATTGCTTCCTGGAGTTGTGTTGCAGAGTCGGATATGCTGGAGGCGGCAGAGATGCACTGATACAGTTCGTGTCATCTTAGGGGGCGAGCTCAGCACCAGCAGGCAAGGTGTCCTTGCAGTCATTTGCATACAGGAGGACTAATGCAGATCCAAAGATGCTACCTTGTGGTACCCCTGCTTGGATATGGTGCAGGGAGGACTCTTGGCCGCCCACAACAGCCTGCAGGCGCCGATTGTGCAGGTAGCTTTCCAGCCATCCGAGATTTGGGCCGTCTAGACAGTGTACGGATGCCTTGTGTAGCAGGCCAGCATGGCTGACTTTATCAAAGGTGCCTAAATATCTATCGCCAAAACATGGGCGGCTTCTCCAAGGCCGGCTGCTCTGGACCATTCACAGTGGAGTTTGGTTAAGGCGTCAGCTGTCCTCATGCCCTTTCTAAACCCTAACTGTTGCATGGAGATGATACTGCGGGACTCCAGGAAACTGGTTATCTGTCAATTGACACTCGTTTCCATCACTTTGGTTATTATAGACAGCAGAGACACAGGTCTGTAATGTTGAGGCAGGTTCTTGGATTTCTTCTGGTGAATGGGTGTGACTCTCGCTGTCTTCCAGGATGTCGACATAACCATACCATAGCAGCTAGGGGGAAACAGTTTGGAGAGTGGCTTACATCTTCAGAACTCGCGCGGGTTTGTTAGGGATATGAGCATGCATGCAACTGTATTCTTTTCATTGTATTAACTTTATTAGGTATTACGCTCCTCGATATTCATCTTGTTGAGCATTGAAGGTAGGCTTTAGTGCTGCTGTACTGCGCATCGCTCGCTACTTTTCGTAGTCAGATCATTCTGGTGCCAGAGCAACGAATTATCGTAATGTGATTATGTCTGTGGTGCCTCCTTTGCACCATGGCCGTTAGCTCGGCTTACTATAAAAAGCTCGTAGCTCTACTGATGAAGCCTATATCGTCGAAACAGCTTGCTGTCTACATGTACAGCATTGGGTAACTTTTATCATTAGGATTTTGGCGTGTTACTTGTTCATAAAAATCACAGGACGCTATGCCAACCACAGTGCGTCAAGGGGAGAAACGCCACGTAAAACAATTTGAAGTTTCTCGCAGACGCTATCGAATAAGACAAAAGGGCATGAAGACTCAGCCTACAAATGAATCGGAGGAAGGTTTCAATCTAGAGTCCGGCACCTCCGTGCCGTCGGGTGGGCCAGATTTTGCACTAATGGTAAGTGAGCCACGGGACGCTGATCAAAACTATCAACTCTGTGTTTACCCATAGCCGAATAGCTTTAAAAAGATTCTGCGAAACAAACTCAAGATGGCAAGCTGGCATCGGAGTTGTTTCCGTAACAGAGATGCAGGTGATCTGTGCATTCCCAACTAACTTGAAACCGACATTGCACCTGGCCTTGTAATAAGGGGAAGTACCGGAAACATGTCCATCGGCCAAATCTGGAGCTGTACACTTGTGTACTGCATTTCCAGGGACGACAAACATCAATAAAATTAATGCATAATACAGTGCTGGCAACTGAAATCCGACCCCCTTGTCGGTGCGCCGCGCCGGCAAGGGGGTCGGATTTCAGTTGCCAGCACTGTACTTCTCAGATGCGCAGTTACACATCCAGCGCATGATCACATGATCACAGGGCATAGTACATAAAGGGGAACTTGACCCAAAATCTAAACTATTACTTCATGGTCCGTAGAGTTTCGGGCGCTGAGTCGAATGGTGAAGGTCCCACTTCGATCCGACCAAGCGTTCTTGAGATAATAATTATCAGTTTGAAATACATGATTGTAATTTTATGCCGTGACGTCAATGAGATTTGGTGATCCTTTGGCCAGATCCAGAAACACTGGGATTTCGCATCTTCTTTCTGTTTGTCCATGGAAGAAGAAGGTATTTTGCTGTCATCAGGGCTTCTGGTTGTGTTGTTGGCTGCTATAATCTTACTGGCAACCCCCCTGGGATGAACCTGCATCAATTTCCGAAGGATTGTGCTTGGCACAGGCTGAGCAGTGCACCATAGCAGCTTTCAAGCGACATAATTATTTGCTTGACAATTTCGGGACTACAATGTATATCCTTCGCGTGTGTTCCAGCCATTTGGCAGAGGAGGATTTTCAGGATGAATTTTGTGCACTCATCCGATGCGGACGCTGGTGGATGAAACTGTGGTGTGTGCTTTTTTCGCACGCCACACTGTGAAGCGTCAGTCGAAAAGCGGAGGTGAGTGCAATATTTCAAAAAACACTAGCTACTGTATGTAGTTCTTTCTTTTCAAAAGCATTTGTAGAATTGTTTTGGACTACATCACTACGAAATGTGAAGCTTTCCGAAACCAGCCTGATGACAGGTGGACGGCAGTAGATCTACTGCTTCCCTAGGCTATACTGCGTGCCACCGATGAACCTAGCTGCGATTGCTGTTCTTGATTTTACAGGAAGAAGATCAAGAGCGGCTGTACCATCGGTCGCTGTGACTCACTGTTGAGCTACGACCAATGCCACCGCCCAAAGCCTTTTAAGGTTATAGGAAGGACTGTTTGCAGCGCCAGCGCCTCTAGCTGGCATGTTTTTTTCCTGTATGAACAGACAGTATGTACTGCTGATAAGCTACATCACGCAATGACCTCCAGTTCAAGGAGAGAAGATAGTCCACATACGGGCAACAGTGTACGCCTATTCAGGAACTCGTTGCGTTTTCTCAGCATGGATGCAGATGAGAGCCAGACATTATTATTATTGTGTGCGTGCACGCGCGTGGGTGTGTGTGCGCGCACGCGCGTGAGTGTGTGCAGACGTGAGTGTGTTTACGCGCACACGCGTGGGTGTGTGTGTGTGCGCGCACTTGCGTGAGTGTGTGTGTGCGCGCAGGCGCACACATGCGTGTGCTTTTGTATAACGTAATATAACATTCCAAAGATATTCACGTTATCTGTTCTGTGTTCTCCTTTATGTCATTCTCTCCCCCTTGTGGGAGGGACATGGAATGACAAGTAGTAGATGCATTGCCGTTAGTAATCCTGAGGGATGTGTGCGTGTGCACGCAAGTGCATGAGTGTGCGCATGTGTGCGTGCACGAGCATGTGCACAGGCACTTGTATGCTTATGCACTCGTGTGCACACGCGCTTGTGAAATTGTGTGTGTGTGTGTGCATGAGCATGTGTATGACTACTATACGATGTGCCCACCAAGGTGAGCACATGTGCGTGCGTGTGTGTGGGGCGCAGGCGGATATGTGCACACGTTTTGTAATGATAATCAAGAAGGACAAAGAACTGTTCCGGTAATGCAGTCATGAAACACCACAGTAGGGCAAAACGCACTCAATCTAATACTGTGCTGCTGCTGCTGCTGCTGCTGCTGCTGCTGCTGCTGCTGCTGCTGCTGCTGCTGCTGCTGCTGCTGCTGCTAGAGTGCAGAGCGTAATGTTCGGTACACAGCTACGTGAAATACAAGAGAACGTCTCAGCATTCTGTAAAGACGAAGTGATACCAGTAAACCAAAAGGTGAGAATGTATTTCGCCACAATACGAATTGAGGTGCAGTCCACTTATGTGAGATAAAGCACAAGTGAACCAATACACATTGCACGACGAGGCTTGCACGGAGATAATGCTAGCCATGTTACGCAGCAAAGTGCATGTAAAAGAGTACGAGTGAGGAGACTATTGAGTATGATTTTCCGGGGCTTGACTTGACTTCAACAGACAGAGACAAAAGAATGAAGGGGGTATTTCTTTCGGGCAGGTACTTATTTACTGACTTTTACGGTAGTCTCAATGACGTAGAAGGGCGTTTTTGGGGGGGGGGGGTGTCGCGGCCGCATGACGTCATGGCGCGTCCCCCGAAAGTACAATTTCAACCGAAGATATCTCAGGAACGCTTGGTCGGATCGAAGTGGGACCTTCACCATTCGACTCAGCGCCCGAAACTCTACGGACCATGAAGTTTTGATTTTTGGGTGAAGTTCCCCTTTAAAGAATGCAGTACAGGTGTAGTACGCAATGTCAAAGGTTATAGGGATGAATATAAGACCATCAATTCAAGACTGATCACCGAAACATTTTACGATTCGTGTGAGATCCAGTCATACAGAGTATACTCAGCCGTGGATAACGCCACCACTCTCAGACATCAGGGAGAAGATTCAGAACTGAGGGAGATGAGTAGAACTGGACCATCAAAAAGCTGAATCTGCCGTTCACTACATCCATGTGTCCCTCATGCCAGGCGACGAGTTCCCACTGTGCCCCGGAGCACGAATGAAAAGAACTTTTCCGCTTTCAAAGAGTACTCGAACCTGGTATCTTCTGTTTCTCAGTAATGGGCCGAGACTGTCCCACTATGCCTGACTGCACTGCAACATAAAATTAATTATTATGAAACTTTTAAACTTTACCGTTGCAAATGGGAGTTGGGGTTGGGGTCGACTTCCAGGCAGCTGGAGTAGCTGGAGTACTAGTTGTTGATTTTTTATATGATTCACAGGCACGATTGCTATGGCCGTGAAGTTGGTAGCCAATGTTACATGTGTAGAAGGCCTCTGACGGGAAAACAAGTCCTGATGGATACATGATAATCCCATTGGTGATCGGAGGCAAAACAGGGCAGCTGTTGGTGAGGTCTAGAAAATCGGAAGCAAAATGAGGGAAAGAATTCATAAAGGGTTGGCGGGACCGTGATCACTAGTAGTAGGTCCACTTACACATGTACCTACTTTGAACGCAATACTTAAGATACTGTTCCACAGTGTGAACATGATCTCTCTTCTCCTCTTCAACACACACACACGTACACACACACGCACACGCGCGCGCGCACACACACACACACACAAACACATTGTATCCGTTGCCACGAGAAGCCACCAAGTAAAAATAAGAGCTCATCGGCAATATTGTATCCGAAACATGTACCGACAATGTGTTTTTAACAGTAAAAGTCAAGAACCCTACTTGCGGCATCAGGCTTGTTGTACTTGCATATCGTCACGTTGGTGTTACTGCATGCTGGTCCTGGATAGCAACGACGGTTTGTTCCAGTACTTGAATCCAACCATGCTGATACGCTGTTTCCAGGGTGCGCTGCGGCTATGTGCGCAAGGAAAGCGAGCAAGCAATTCATGTTCGTACCGCTAAAGTCGGTGGAGCTGATCAGGGCAAAGCTGACTCCTGGCGCTGCTGTCTGGCACTTATCTGCAGCTGCAGTTGCGTTGTTGTACTTTGTAGACCATAGCAAACCACTGATGTAGTATAGACCAGTCGGGGAGTTGCAATTGAAATGTTCTGAAAATAACCAAAGAAAGTGATACAAAAATGGTGTGATTTCAATCATTGTGTCTGAACCTCATCCGCATCACTCGTCTTAACTCGTAAGTGAGGCTTCTTAATCCTTTACATGCATGTATGTTGTGTCTTGTAAGCCCACAGTAAAATTAACTCCAGGACCCTTCCAGGTTTGCTGAATATATCGTTACCCTTCAAAAGATTAAGTTGTAGAACATGTACATGTCCGTGCACGTGATTCTTTTAGATGACACAGAACACATCAATTATTATTATTGTTACCCAGTATCGAACATGCAGCGGATTGAATTCTGCCCACCATCCTCGTCCGGACATTGCAGTATGAATCCCACCTTCCTCTGATTCAATGCACCAGAGCATGTCCCCAGTGAATACTCACCCACATGTTGGCCTGCCGATTGAAGCGTTCCTATGCATGCTAGGAAGAGAAGCCGGGACACTACATCTCGAGTACTGAGCGACATACTGACAGCAGTCCGGGATCTTCCGTTGACTTCTTTCTGAAACAAAGCACAAAGCAGGACACCTTTGTTTGTCACAAAGTTATGTTGAATAAAAGAAAAGAAACCGGGGCTCCCGAACCAGGCAGGCGCTCATTAGGTCATTAGCCACTCTGTTCACAAGCTGCGCATTTTGATGTGATAAAATCCAATTTTGCGGAACTCTGAGAGAAAGGGACGCACCTCGAGTTTCAAGTACATGTATTAGTTTATGCAAAAACTGCGCAGTCTCAAGCTCGCGGAGCTCTCCAGTTTATCTTGTGTGAACCACGGCTGTGCTTGGGCAGGGGGTCCACAAAGACTGAGTAGTCTGGCCTAGTTAAAGGGGCACTCCGGCTTCATTTTCGACGCCGAGTTTTCGATGCCAAGACGAAGGTTGGTGAAAGAGAAGACGCCTCGAACAAGAACGAGTCTCCAGAAGCGATCGAGTCGAGCAGGAAGACGACTTTTGAATTTCGCCGAGCGAGCGCTGATGACGTAATGAGGGATTAGCTTGCCAGTGGAAATGCATCTGCGCACATACATTTCGCATACTTTTTGGCCAATTTTCAATCGAAGAGGAGGTTGTTTTCTATGTTCTCTCAACGTCGTGAGCGATCCCGTCTTCTATATCCTTCCAGGTACCCTGAAGGTCCTCCGGAGGAGAATTTATCTCCAGCAAAGCGTTGTTGATCCGCTAAATTCGTCTTGAGACATATTCACCCAGTGCAGTGCTGATAAATGTAGAATGTTGAATCTGTGATAATTGTCGACGATGGAGAGAGAGGTTGATAGCCGCTGTCGCAGGGAAAGTGAAGCTGCTGGAAGTAACAACGGGGAGTTTGTTAGCATCACATGAGCATCCAGACTTCAAAGCAGCTTGACGGAATCGGGGAGTACTGACTATTTGTCTCGCCCTCAGTTTAGTGAATTTTATGACCAGAAATTATTCGATCAGGATCCCTTCTACAAGATGTGTAGTGTAGTACAGGTGATTTCTGAACTTGACGATATGGAGACTGACCAGTAGACCTACCAACAACGTGTACCTGCAGGAAATTCACCCAAGGCTATTGCTATCCTCTTCAGTGGCTGTTGTTTTTTAGTAAAAATATGTTCACTTCTCTCAACATACTCCTGCATGGCAGCAAGAAGGTGCGCTATGGAATTCAACGCCACAATCTTCGCCCAGCTGTGGATGAAGCATGGTCAAGTCATGGCAGTGCACATACTTGAAACAGATGAGAAATTGAAGTTCATTTGTGATGGAAAGTTTGACAGCCCCAGTGACCGAGTCAAGCGTTGTCTTTTGCCGTGGCACAAATTGCTGAAGAATCCGAGATGGTCTTGGAATTATGCACATGGATACCACCAGAAATAATGGTGGCATGAACCATTGTGGAATGGGACAGTTCACGGAGAATACTGGAATAGCTCTAGTATCTCTAGGTGATTGTAAATCCTGTTCTGGCTGATAGCTTCGGCCTGCTGCGCCCGTCCATGTACAATGATGGTAACATGCATTTCTGTTTTCTACATATTTGCTGGCTACTGTACTGTGGTATTACAGTTGCAGGTCCCTTATATATAGAAATATGTTCAACCCCCCCCCCCTCCCCCTCCCACATTATAAATATGAACGAACAATTTCACTGTTGGACTCGCCGGCGGCTACAACATATAGAGAGCAAAGGATTAATTTATAGCAAAGAAAAGGACCAGGGGACTACAAGTTCCACTATAATGGCCACGAACAATTTAACTGTATTTGAAATAATTTTGTTTGATACCCTGAGAACTCTGAAACTTTGCAGCACTGTGGATTATATGTGGATACAACATTTATGGAAGGAAAAGTGGAATATTCTAACACATTGTTCAAATAATTATAGCACTGTTGAGATTGTGAGCACATTCCAATCAGCACTCTACATATTTATAAGCGGTGGCAATCGTTAGGGATAGGTCATGAGTTGTCAGAGTGCTCGAGTATATGAGAGAATGTTTCGTTTGTCTAATCGACGGCTCGTTTGAAGCCAGAGTTGTTTGAACTTGTTTCAGTCGACTTGATTCTAGACCGTAGTCGAAGGAGTACTATGAAGTATACACCAGACGTAGTCCGAAAGGTATCTCGTGGAATTCTGTCGGTACACATCAGGTATCAGCTTGCAAAGATGGCTCCTCTCTGTTTCTTGAAAGCCTGTATAGTTGGACTGTGGCTCCAGCGATTCCCTTCTCAGAGCAGATACCATACCCAATACGGTCAATGCATATTGGACAGACCTGTGTGCACAACAGAAATAGTGGAGAGAAATCTCTCAGCTCATGAACACATCAGTGAAGTTTGAACTGCCGTTGTTTGTGGCCATCAGTACAAACCTATCGACTATAAGAATAATGTGCAAGAAAAACCTCGACCGTAAAATCCCGCCAGAGCGCCCCGTCTCTCCCATCCGCCCCTCCCTGACTTCTTGTCAGGGACGTGATTGATTGTATCCTCGTATGACTCTGTCGCAGTCTGTGATGCCGTACTGCACTGTAGACGTGTGCTCGACCCCGTTGGAAATGTACGCAACAGTGCCCACCCTCCTGACCAGGGATCGCACAAACCCTGCGTTTTGTCGGATCTGTTCGACTCCGGGCTCTTGACCTTTGGTCGGTGTACGAGATGCACGAACAGTTTTCGTAGGGTGAGTACTTTTTCATGTGGCACTGAATGCGGCAAGTAGGACTCTCCCATCCGCCCCTCCCCACCTGAAGCGTCGAGGAGGTAGGGGCGCTCTGGCGGGATTTTACGGTATAACTACAGCTGGGGCCATGGAATTATAAAGCATCTAACTTAGGGAACTGCCGATTCTGGTCTGAGTTGCGTTCGAGGCCTGGAATTCATGATGGCTATCGTATGTTGCATTGACCAGAGATCATATACAACTTCCAAAAATGCCACATTGAAACACGCACCACTTTCGAGTACTTTGGTATTCCCCACCAAATGGGCATTCGTTCCCGGGGTGGCAGGCGTCACCATTCGTTATGCCTGGATCAGATTTCATTGACCCCAACTGTCATGAAGAATCATTTTTACTTTGACTGGATTTCAGTACAAGTTGTAGAACTGCAGAATCAATTTTGTTGTATTTGGGCAACCATTTCTCTACATTTCTCTATTTGGAAACTTATGATAGAATTTTTTTATAAAATACATGTCCAAATTCCACATCTACCCAAATCGGAATACTTGATCACGTATTCAGTATTAAACGGAATGTTTAGAAACCGCCAGGGAATAGGAATGTGCTAACGAGAACTCCAGGCCAGGGAGTCTGGGTACTAGCATACGAACAAAACAAGATAAAAACTCACCAGTATACTTGTAGTAATTCATGTCGGTGTAATATTCACGATAAGCAACGAGGCACCCTCCGATTTGGTCAAGCTGCTTTGAAGTCTGGTTGTTCAGATGATACAAACGGGCTCCCCATTGTTACTTCCAGCAGCTTCACTCTCCCTGCGACAGCGGCTATCAGCCTCTCTCTCTCCATCGTCGACAATTATCACAGATTCAACATTCTACATTTATCAGCACTGAATATGTCTCGAGACGAATTTAGCGGATCAACAACGCTTTGCTGGAGATAAATTCTCGTCTGGAGGACCTTCAGGGTACCTGGAAGGGTATAGAAGACGGGATCGCTCACGACGTTGGGAGAACATAGAAAACAACCTCCTCTTCGATTGAAAATTGGCCAAAAAGTGTGTAAAATGTATGTGCGCAGGTGCATTTCCGCTGGCAAGCTAATCCCTCATTACGTCATCAGCGCTCGCTCGGCGAAATTCAAAAGTCGTCTTCCTGCTCGACTCGATCGCTTCTGGAGACTCGTTCTTGGTCGAGGCGTCTTCTCTTTCACCTACCTTCGTCTTGGCATCGAAAACTCGGCGTCGAAAATGAAGCCGGAGTGCCCCTTTAACGTTGCAGCTAGCTGCGGACGTTCGGAAGTGATACGTGCGAAACGCTAGCAGCAGACGGGTACGGTATAGATTCAAACTTCCAGAACTACAATGATTGTACTAAACAGTACCCCACGATAACTGTAGTCTGGCAGTGGACACTACAAAATCATGCATGTGGTTTGCGCTGGGTCAGAGGTGACAGCTTTGAACAAGTGTCGTTTGACACTTCAGCCTTTTCCAAGTGGACGGGATTCTTATATTCCCAGATATAGAAATCGTCATGCACTCGCGGACACCCTTGCTTTTCAACGGTGATCGGGAATGGATAAAGGAAGACAGAAGAGGACTTTTCGACGTGATTATGGGCTGCTTTGACGGTGCAGAAGTCCGCGAACTGGTCGGGACACATGCCCTGTCAAAGCTATTGGAGGAGTTCAACAGCGCGCACATCAGACTGTACTGCGATAATGAAATAGCGGTTGGTTGGTTGGTTGGTTGGTTTATTTTAATTCGCATAATGAACAGGAACTACAATAGGCCCAATAATATAAAGGCGAATGGATAAGCCGCGTTTAGAAAAGAGAGGACAGGAATTAGCAAATTACGAAAGAAAAATTAATTATCTGACAGAGGAGTCAAGCGAGTATCAGGGGTGACAGGGCTAGGGTGGTCGTGGAGAGCTAGGGGGCGGGCTAGTCTGAACAACAATATGGTAAGCAACTTATTCTAAACCTTTTCTATCTTGCTATGGTCCGAACAGCAGGCAGGCACAGTGGGTTGGTCAAAGACCATGATTGAGATACGAGAGGTACCTGGTTCAAGTCCTGCCTGGGAGCGGTTTTTCCAGCCGTGCTGCTACCCACAGTCAACTGGGAACTTGTGGCCAGGCACAAGGGGTACATGGATGCAGCTAATGGGGTCGTTTTCGGCACTTGTGCCAGTGGTTGTGAGACTTATCCACTCACCCCCACCGTTAGGCGCTGCATCTGCCGCTAGGGTTTATCGGGTGTTAGCGGCCGTCGTGAGTTCCCTTCGGGAACGGACACGATAATTTACTTACTTACTTATGGTCCGAACATCATCCGGCAGCATGTGCCAGAGTGCAGATCCTGCGACGGACGGCCTAGAAGCGCCAGAGCGAGTGGAGGATGGCTGACTGAGCAGACCACTGGACCTCAGACGGGTTCTCCTGCCAGTAGATATGACGAACAGTTCAGACAACGTGGCACTAGCTTTCCCGTGAAGGCACCTCCAGACAAACACTAGTAGCTTGCGCTTGCTGAGTTCGCCTACGCGGTACAAGCCGTGCTGCACCAGCAGGAGATGCCCGGTTGTGTGGGGTGGGTGGTCGTCAATAGCTCGGATAGCCCTGTTCTGTAGCAGACCCAGGCGATAAAGCTGGCGAACAAGGAGCGCGGGGAAGAAGGCAATACTGCCATAGACTATGTCAGGGATGACAACAGCCTGGGCGAAGAGACGCCGTGCAGATCGGCGGTGATCAGAGATGCGATTGGCAGTACAGCAGACCGAGCCTGAAAGACCATATGCCAGATTTTCGCAAGTCTTGGTTTGAACCTGACCATCAGCGCTGGCATGAAGACGGTAGATTTATTGGATGTGACACTGGATATGTCAACCGGGAAATACAATCATCCAACAATTGCCAAAGATGATCAGCAGACGACTAACAGACAGTTTATCAAGTGACCGACACGTATTTGAGGAATCGGCACCAGCGTGCAACGATGCCCTCGGAGAGAGTGGATATGTGGAGCGAGGCGAGCATGTAGAATAGAGGAGTGAAGAGACACGACGAAGAAAGGAAAATAGGCGGCGCAACATCACATGGCACAACCATTTTAGCCTGGTACCCACCACACAGCTGATTGAAGTGACTTTTTTCTGGACAGTGAATCCGCATTTTTCTTTTTTCTTTTTTTCATGAAGTTGGTTGTTCCAACGAGGAACACACGCTTCTGGCCGACACTTGATACTTGACTGACTCACGACTGCCATCCGGAGCACACGAGGAGCACGTCGCACCTTCCACTCGGCAAACCTACAAGAAAGCACCGCTCCCTGCTCAATACACAGTGTTTCGGGGAATTCACCCCTCATCAGTTGAGCGTGAGTAGGCTGAGGAAGATTGTGTCTGGAAAGCGAAGAGCTGCGCTTCGGTCCTCTGAGCTGTGCTGAGGAGCTCTAACGGAGCGAAACAGTTGAGTATATAATTATATTATGTTGGTTTTTTTACTAGCAAACACAGCCCTACTAATAATAATCAGGGGAAGAGGACAACTGAACTGCTCTCCAGGCCAAACCATACCCAGGGATACAAAATTACAGAGAAGTTTTGTTTCCAGCGCGACAAACACCATGTGAAGTCCCAGGTAGCAGCGTGAGTCAGAGTCGCTCATGGAGATGTGCTAAACAGACGTTGAGAGCCAGTATAGCTATTCACAACGCTGTCACCTCCAACAAAAAGTCGCACGTCCGCGTGATGATGGCAGTCGTGAGTCAGTCAAGTGCCGGCAGGAAGCGTGTGTTCCTCTTTGGAACAACCAACTAACTACTACTTCATGACCCATACCGCCGAAGACGCAACTTCTAAGTTCTTTTTTCTACAAGTAAATTTTTCTAAAAAGTAAAAAGGACCAAGGAACTACAAGTTCCACTATAATGTCCACTAACACCACCAGTTACTAAACAATCAGCTCATGCTATAACATTGCACGACACTGACCGACTGTACTGACGTTCTACAACTAACTGGCTAACAGCTCTAGCACATCTTGGATGCGCACTCCAACAGCCTTCCAACTTGGAAGGTTATAAGTTATAGAAATAACATGAGGAGGGGAAGGTGAGCGCAACCAATATAAGCACGAGCTGAAAGTCTCAGCTGTGCAGGACGTTGGCGGATGTTCATGCATGTCGATGACGATACTGGCAAGACCATCGGACAATACAGTCAAACCACGATTCAAGGACGCAAAGCAACATTCCACACAACTTGCGTGGCTCAAAAGATGCAAGATCAAGAAAAGGGGAAGCTATGCGAACAAGAATCATGCAAACCCGAACGCCTCAGTAAAACAGCACTGTACTTCGACTATGACAATTCAGATGGACAATAACCAGCGGTAACAAGCCCCAGTATAACTTAGAACCGTCTAAGTTGGAAGGCTGTTGGAGTGCGCATCCAAGATGTGCTAGAGATGTTAGCCAGTTAGTTGTAGAACGTCAGTACCGTCGGTCAGTGTCGTACAATGTTATCGCATGAGCTGATTGTTTAGTAACTGGTGGTGTTAGTGGGTATTATAGTGGAACTTGTACTTCCTTGGTCCTTTTTTACTTTTTATATTATATATATAATTTAATAATCCTTGGCTCTCCATCCGAGCTCATTTTTTTCATTCTTTTTTTTCTTTTTTTTCTTTTCTTCAACACACACAACGCACCATATACTCCGGGATAAACTGGCTGTTGGTAACCAGTCAGGAGAATGAAAAAAGAGCTAGGAGAATGAGAAAGAGAAGAAAGATGTGAGCAACCATAATCGTCGGGAATTGAACCCGCAACCTCTCAATTGGAAATCGACTGCACATGCCACTGCACCATATGGAACACACACACACACAAAACGGGCGCGCGCGCGCGCGCACACACAAACACCCACACACACCTCAGACCTGTCCATCGCTGAAGCGATGATAGCGAACAGCCATGTTAGACATAGCAACTTGTGCTGGGATTACATCATTCAACAGCTTGCAAGGTTGATGAATTGACCGCCACTAATTTTAGCCTGGTATCCACCACACAGCTGACTAAAGTGGCTTTTTCTGGCCAGTGAATCCCTATTTTTCATTTTTCAATTTTTCAATTTTTTTAATTCTTTTTTTCATTCTTTTTTGACACACACACCACACCTCATATTCCGGCCTACACTGGCTGTTGGTAACCACCCAGGAGAGTGAAAGAGGAGCAAGGAGAATGAGAAAGAGAAGAAAGATGTGTGACACACACACACACACACACACAAACAGACACAGAAGGAATATGATGTCTAGTGGCAAGCAAGAACATCTTACCTCCGTAGCTCTGGTATTCAGTAGGACATGTGTAGGTCTTTTTCGAGTGCCCAGCACACGAACTTCGGTACCTTGTACCGGATCAAACAAGGCAAAAGTCGATCTGCGTTATCCAACCTTTAATGGTCGCACGGATTCGTCCCTTTTCTAAGATGCTGCAGTTCCCACGACAGCCAATATAAAACTAGAATCAGAGTTACTCCGAAAGGTCTAGTCCCTGCAATTCTCATCAACATTCACCTACATGTTGGACATCATAGCTCATCTTCAAAGCATCAACCTGTGAACTAACAACTAGCGATTAGTTCTTACCAGGAACGTGGCCCAGTAGCATCCTTCGCAGACGCAGCCGCAACACCCCGTCACTCGGCGTCTTGATAGCAGCGGCCATACGATGAGCAGGTGCATTTCAGAGCCCAAGCTTAGTGTAACAGCTGTGTGTGTGTGGGGGGGGGGGGTGGTTCGCACTAAGTGCCTGTGGGAACAGCAGAGTGTGATCACCTGCTGGGGTTCTTACCAGGTGTCGGGTCTGACGAAACGCACAGATGCTAGAAATGCCAGCTGAGCACAGCCCACAGTTTCCTCGGAGACAAGAATGCGATACTACTGCGAAGAAGTAAACTTGTGTGCAACCACTTGTTATCGTAGTCAACTGGTCCACAATAGTGTCATGCATGAGGAGTACCGTTAGATATTGGCGTCCGTTTTTGTACAATTTGTTTTCCCAAAGCTTCCCCTTTCTTTATCTCTGATATTGCTGACCCACCCAAGTGGGGTGGTGTGTTGTTTTACTGCTTCAAATTGTAGTTAAACTGCATTGTCATGTTATTAGCTTGTCTCGTCATCGTCCTGTAACGGTCAGCATTCTTTGTTGCTGTGGGACTTAGCTTGTGCACATTCTCGCTGCGCTCACCCCCTTCCCCTCATTGGTCCTACCATAACCTTGAACCTTCCAAGCTGGAAGGCTGTTGGTTTGCGCACTGGAGATGTGTTAGAGCTAGGTCTCAGGTCGTTGAATGTCTCAGTAGCCTGTCAGTTTTGTGCCCTGTTATCGCACCCTCTGATCTTGTTACAGTCGTGAATAGTTTCATCATAACTCGGTTACATTTGATTTCTTCTACATGTATGATTCGAACTTAGACTAGTTGTTGGAGGTGACAGCGTTGTGAATAGCTACACTGGCTCTCAACGTCTGTTTAGCACAACTCCATGAGCGACTCTGACTCACGCTGCTACCTGGGGCTTCACGAGGTGTTTGTCACGCTGGAAACGGAGCGTCTCTGTAAGTTTGTATCCCTGGTGATGGTTTGGCCTGGAGAGCAGTATATAAGTGGTGCTTTTCAGGCACAATCTTCCTCAGCCTACTCACGCTCAACTGATGAGGGGTGAATTCCTCGAAACACCGTGTATTGAGCAGGGAGTGGTGCTTTCTTTCAGGTTTGCCGAGTAGAAGGTGCGACGTGCTCCTCGTGTGCTCCGGATGGCAGTCGTGAGTCAGTCAAGTGTCAAGTTCGGCAAGAAGCGTGTGCTCCTTGTTGGAGCAACCAAGTTCATGTATTTTGATTATTATAATTATGCTGGTTCAGTATCCGAGTTAAATATAGCAAGGACATTGCATGTAACTTCATCATGTGTTTAGCAAGAAGGAGTAGATCTTGAACACGGAGCAAAACCTGTAAATCTGTAAACCTGTTGTGATGAAGCCGAGACCCAAGGTCGGCAGAGCATCCCAGACCACGCCACCACTCCCCTTATTCATGGCTCACACATGACGGGTTTACGTGGCTCTAGTAAAAAAAATAAAAAAGTAAGTGCACGGAGCATGACCGTACATGTACAGTACAACCTGGTGTAAGCGACCTCTGCGTTTAGCGACCACCTGCTCTTAACGACCGTTATTCCATGCACAGACAGTTCTACACAGACACTTGGGGACCTGGTTTTAACGACCACCTGGCTTTAACGACCGCTTTTGCCTGCACCGTGGGGTGGTCGCTTAATTAAACCAGGTTTTACTGTACATGAACATGTACTTGGATTGCACCGCTCAAAACAGCGCTTGATGCCTGGGGGCTAGTGGGGGTAGAGTTCTGGAGCACAGCAGTTCGGGTGGTCGGTTGCAACTCCGAGCTTTACGTTTAGCAATCATCCGATAACACAATAAAAGCACATAAACCTTGAGTGGTGATAATGTCAGCGACTGGGCACCGGTTTCATAATAATTATGAAACCTACCAGTAAATCGTGGACAGCTTACCCGACTTGAGTCGGTCCACGGTCCCCGATGGCATGTTGCCGCCAGATGTGTTTGCATCTCATTTCAGGCAAGGACGTGTGTCTACGCTGGTAAACAGCCCTCCTCTCAGTGGTGTATGCAGCCTTCGTTTGTGACGGAAAGAAATTCTGTAGAAATACTGGAGACTAAATCTTACGCAGGTCATTGGCTCCCATCTCCACTGAATTGAAAGACTGACAAACTATGCCCTTTCGGCATCATCAGGGTATTGATGATAGATGCCACATTGTTGAGGACCAGGAAACGGTCACCAAGTATAAATACAAAACAATACTGACGGTGAATGCACACATCCTTCGCACACATCCTGCGCGCACATTTCACGGCAAGCCCATCACATTCCTCACTTGTAAGGTGAACTAAAAAAAACACAGAAGCAGTGGGAAACGTGAGCAACCGCAGTACATTAGGGAGGAATCTCACGTCTAATTGAACTCTTTATAGGAGAATATGCTTTTTAAAGCATTCATCACCTACATGTACATGTATAAAGGTGTTGACTGTATGTCATACATGCATGTGCCCAATTTTTTTATTTTTTTTACAAAAACCACACACCATTTGACGGCACAAAGCAGCAAGGCAGCGATGAGACATATGGAATGGCAGGAGTGGGGGACAGGCAGGGGTAGCTTGACCGACCATAGGGTCTCGGCTTCGTTGCAACCCAAGCGCTCCACAGTACGCCTGTGCTGGGTCAGGTGGCAACCTCTAGTGGAAATTCCAAGTGATAGAGATGTCGATATGCAGCTACCATCCGTGAGATCTAATCAATTAAGGGGGCAGACTGGTCATCGCAGTTGACTGGTAGCTGGCACGTCCGGACTACTACTAAACGATGTTTTTGTCGCTTGATTGTATTTCTCCAATTAGCGGTTACAAAACGCACAAAGGAAGCGAACAGCAAGGAAGCGAATGGATGTGTCATGAAGTACGAGGAGAAATCAAGCAGAATGTGGCTTCAAGTAGCTCCCTTTGCGGTAACGAAGCGTCCTTGCCCAGAATCTTTGGAAGAGGAAATTCTCAATACTTAGTGTTTGGTACAATGGTAGACGCACCAAAAAGCCTCCGCTACCCTCGCTCTTCCGTCCCGATAGTGCATCCTAAGTAAATCGGCCTCTCACCGGCCGCCCCGTCTCACCAACGTACAACGTAAAAGAAATACAATGTAACATGTGTGCCTAGTAGTACTAGTACTGTCGTGGACATGGACATCCAGTCGATTGACCGGGGCCGGCGCCCTCAGCCCATACAGAACGTTGCATGCAGTGCACATGTTGATCCGATTCGACGGACCCGCACCCTGCAGCGCAAATTCATGCATGTCACTCTGTGTACTGCTTACCTACGGCTGCATGGCCCGCGCCTTGGGGCCGCTAGACGTGCGACAGGATTTCCATGTCCACGAGAGTAGAATAGACACCACCATTGATGCCTTGATTACTGACTTTTCGCCAAGCTCGCATCATGTGCGGGTCACTCCATGATCCATTGGCCAAGCTCTCTTCGCTTCCGCTCGCTGCTTCTCACGCGGACAAGCAAGTACTAGTACGCTGCAAGCCGATAGTACCAACGACGTTACTATACGTGTCCCTCAAAGGCGCTGAGAAAGATGGAGGTCTCAGGTGTTCTCTCCTGTGTAAAGAATACACCTAGTTTTACGTGTGAAAAATCCCGGAAGTAAAAAGTAATACAACGTGGTTGAAATGATGGAGAGACTCTCGCACGCTTCCAGGAAGAATGCGGTAGTCATGACACGATCTTCGCCCTCGTCGTAGATGGACTCCTGTTCCACAGGCATTAGTCAATCCTCAATCAAATCACGTTACTGCATCACACCCTGCATCATTGATCGGCTTTTGACGTGTGTACCATCAAGGTAATAATTCAAGACGCGCGAGGCAAGAAAATGCTACAGACTTGACCACAAAAGATATAAAAGAATGAAGCAAACTCGCGAACTCTACCTGCATCCGGCGAAATGCGCGAAATGGCAATCAGACGTGCCAGGTAGTATCAATGCATGAGCTCAGGCTAGAGAACAGCGCAAGTGCCGATTGCACTGTGCCCAGAGCACAAGCCCAGGCCAGAGGGTGGAACCGTCAAAGCAACTGGAGACGTCCGCTCCAGCACAACGCTGGAGACCTTCAAAGCTGCAGCACTACCTTACGCAATTGGTCATTGACTGTGCCTGTTGTACTCCTTGCTAAATACCTGCGACAGTACCGAATGCCATGTTTGACAAATGGATCCGTACCATTGATCTTCAGCTGACTATCATTTCCAGTGCATACGCACTTTTTCTCTCTTTCATTCTTCTCTCTTCGCCACCTTGTTATTGGGAAGAAATTCCCGTTTGGATTTTGTGAGCTACACCAATCACTAAAAGAAAGAGAGATATTAAATTATGTAAATAATCGACGCGGAGACAACAATTTTATAATAGCTATAAAGAGAACAAATTCTGCTGTCATCGCCACACTACAACAAAGTCATGAAGGTTTACCAAAATCGATTTTCTTGTCACAATCATCAGTGGAAAGCCGTGACTGAAGAATAACCATGCTAAATCAATGGTTTATATACATTCAATAATGTGTTACGAGAACAAAACAAAGTGCTAAAATAGAATGAGGGAAGGTGAGACAATAGAAGTGAAGTAAGAGCTAAGTGCAACATTCCGTCCGACCACGTCTCTATGGGCTCCCAAAAATACATAAACCGAACTGTCCGTTGCGCCCCATATTATCCATGGTCGCATCACCGCAATATAATATCTCTAAATGGCTGTGTGGTTGGCTTGACATCGTGCAAAAGTTCTATTGCAAACATACAGTCAAAGACACCTTCGAATTCATTGACGTCCTTCGCTCCCACCCAGTTCCGGCCTCCGCGCATATGTGCTCGTTTGATGTTGTGAGTCTATTCATGAACGTTCCGTTAGAAGAGACTATCAATATTTGCCTAGATGTGTTGTACCGAAATGATGAAGTTGATACGCCGTGGATATCGGAGACGGCATTCCGGAAACTGATGTTGCTCGTGACGACTGGTGTGGAGGTTTCCTTCAGTGACATTATGATTGTATAGGCAGGTTGATGGGGTAGCCATGGGCTCTCCATTAGGTCCAGTATTAGCGAATGTGTTCGTTGGTTACTGCGAGTCACTGATTGCAGAACAGTTGTGGCCAGCATTGTACGTTCGTTTTGTTGATGATTCCTTCACCTGGTTTGACTCTCTTGAAGATAGCCAAATCTTTCTTGGTATTCTAAATGACCTACATCCTTCCATACGTTTTACTTGTGAGCACGAACAAGCGAACAAACTTCCCTTTCTAGACGTCCTTGTGGAAAAGTCTAGTCAGGGCATAGTAACATCTGTGTACAGAAAGCCTACATTCACCGGCCAGTACATAATGTTTGATTCGTATTGTTCGTACCAATACAAGGTGAATTTAGTGCGTAACTTGGTGGATCGAGCAAAGCGTATTTGCTCCTCTTCCAAACTAGCTGAGGAACTGGACTTCCTAAAGTCAGTTTTTCTAAAGAACGGGTATCCCGACGATCTCTTGAAGGAGCTCATGAGCGAAAGGCTGCATAGAAAGGAAATACGTTTGGCCCGGACAAATGTCCCACGTATCTTTCTCTCCCTTGGAAAGGTAACCTCTCATTATCCATGAGTCGCGTGGTCCGGAAAATTGTACAACAAACGTACTACGCGGTACATTTTGTACCCGTTTTCACAACTGTACATGCGTTCACGGTGAGGAAGGATGTCCTACCAACCCAACTCGCATCTTGGTATACCAATTTGAGTGCCGACAATGCGGTAGTCGGTACGTTGGTAGGACTCTTCAACATCTGAACGCACGTATCAAGCAGCACGTCCCACTGCACATGCTGACTGGCTCGGCACGGGCACTGCGACCCAAACGCGGCAGGCCACCTAAGAACCCTCGATCACAGCCATCGTTAGCACCATTGCCGTCGACGGCAATAGTGCCTCCATTACCCGTATCGAGAGCCGTGGAGATGGATAATGTGCACATTGTCACCACAACACAATGCACCATAACAACACAAGAGAGTACACCACAACAACATCCAGCTCAAGACCAAAGTGGACGCTTCGATGAGGTGATGCCCCCATCGCCATCGTTGCCGTTGCCTCCCCCAGAACCGCCACCTGCATCTGTCATCGGCAGTGCTGGGGCTGAGTCTGTGGTGTCGCTGGCACGGGCAAATATGGATGAGGTAAGCACTGAACATGAACAAGAAGAAAGAAGGCTGAAGGAAACGGAATTCAACAGAGAAAACAACACGATCAACATTCAAAGACCTAGATCAACGGCTAATTATTCAATGAATTATTACAGTACTGGATGTCAAGCACCGGCGAAGACACTGGGAACAGAAGATTTAACAACAACAGGAACAACAATGACAACAACAACAATGGTAACAAATTACCATCAAGATCAAAGGAGGAGTCAACGAACAGAGGTTCAGCAACATGAAGCGAGCCTGGGACCGATCGGTGTTGATGAGGAGAATGACACGGAGGACGACACTGATCGAGGACGAGTTGGAAGATGAGACGTGGGACGAGGTTGTGGTTGGTGGAGACGAGGAATCGGATGGTGATTGTGATCGTAAGAAGCCTGCCGTTTTTCTTCATCTGTTGTCTCACCCTAAGTGTCTGCAGGTGTATGATGATTTTAGTTTTTCTGTTCTTTGTCGTGCACGGTACGCTAGTCAGTTGAAAGTACTTGAGGCTGTTTGTATTCGTTTGCATAAGCCTGATCTTTGTAAGCAGAAGAAACATGTAGTGGCGTTAAGATTGATTTCGTAGGTGCACAGCATGATTGTTTGTCTCACTACACAGTTCTAGCGTTGCAATTAGTTCCTCACCCCTGTTGCACTTAGCTCTCACTTCACTTCTATTGTCTCACCTTCCCTCATTCTATTTTAGCCCTTTGTTTTGTTCTCGTAACACATTATTGAACGTATATAAATCATTGATTTAGCATGGTTATTCTTCAGTCACGGCTTTCCACTGGTGATTGTGACAAAAAATCGAATTTGGTAAACCTTCATTACTTTGTTGTAGTGTGGCGATGACAGCAGAATTTGTTCTCTTTATAGATATTAAATTATTCTCCAATAATTTAATATCTTTGAAAGGATTGGGAGAACTTCAAATACAAAGGATCAGTTGGGGAAGTGAACTGCCTGAAAAGAGAAAAAAACGCCAGACTCACCAGGACTGGTGGGTGTGGCGTTTTTTTTGCTTTTTTTGCTCCTAAGTCCATTTCTACTGACACGTATATGGCCAAGTAGCACCTCGTGTTTCTCAGAATAAGCAGTAGATACAGTACGGCGACAAGTGCTGTACTTTTGCAGTGTCAAAACAAAATTTCCAACGTGCAGTGAAACTTGGCTATTGGACATGTGCATGTACATTACATGTCGCGTCGAATGTTAGCATTGAGGTACATGTACCGGTATGTGCAGCTAGCAGGTGCGTGATACTATTTACATGCCTGCATTACTATAATTATCAGACTGCAAACACGAGAGAGAGAGAGAGAAAGAGAGAAAGAGAGAGAGAGAGAGAGTGAGAGAGAGAGAGAGAGAGAGAGAGAGAGAGAGAGAGAGAGAGAGAGAGAGAGAGAGAGAGAGAGAGAGTGAGAGAGAGAGAGAGAGAAGCGTCAGACGGTTCGGCGTTACACTTCAACTGAGAGAATAGGTATTGTAGCTCAAGTACTGACAGGAGAAGAAAAAGGTGGGTAGGAAACGGTCAGAGTCTAAGGAAAGAAGTGCAATTGGTCCTTACCCATTGTGCAAGCTCAAGCTGGATACAGATCTATTTCATTCCTTGGTGCTGACCGCTTTAATGCGCTTCCCGAATCCCTTCGCACAAATCATATCCCCAATTCATTTCGCCAGGAACTTCACAATTTCATTCATCTTGGGCACCCTGTAAGAAGACCTTAGGGTCTGTTGGGAATACCCAAGTAAAATAATAAAATACAATACAATACAAATAGGACAATTGCAACCTGAACTTATTTACTCGAAATACGTGTAGATAATACGATAGATCTCGCAGCAATGTAAGAAGGAGAGCACTACTTGCATGCGATGGCAGTGCTGTAACGAAGAAATGATGAAAATGAAAATACCAAAAATCCTTTGCATAGACAAACAGTCCAAAGGCTAGCTTGTAACTACATGTATTCTTAAATGCTTTGAAAGACTTCAAGGCTGCAGTTGGACAACACTCACATGTGAATAGCTGCAGCTTAAAAGCTGATCGATCCCAACATTGTGATACAACTACTGTCGCTTCCATATGTTTCACTTTAACTGAAGTTGTTCTTCCGTCTGAGCTTTGGGAACTCTACGCCGTACAACCCATCCCTACTCCATCACCTACACCATCACTGTTGGCTCTGCAGTCATGGACAATTCTTTAGCCACTAGTACATGAGGTATTATATTAACATGTTTTCCCTCTTCGTCGCCGCTCTTGAATCGCATCAACTACATGCCGTGATCAGTTCAGGAGAGACAAGCCATGCCATTGGACATCGGGCTCTTTCTTGCAGTTAGTGTTTTATAAGTATAACTGTAGTTTCACACTGCCTAGGCCCAGCCATCAAATTCTGTGACAGGGAAAGGATTCTTCTACTGCTGGTGTCGTATATTGTGATAGGTTACCTCCAGGTACTCGGATTTCGTTTTTTTAACACTCCACACCACTTAGCTACCCCCTCTTGCTGCAGCATGCTACTCGTAAGGCAGTTGTCCTAGAGCTGTTGAGCTGGTAAATATGCTGTGTGCAAATGGTAGCTGACCACCACGGTTGGTGTGTTCAAATCATGGCACTAACACTAGCCTTGTAGATTCGAATCAAAGCAGTACTCACAAAGTAAATGTCTTCATTCCAGCCCGATGAAGTTAGCGAGGTCTGAAACTTTCCAAAAATAAAAGTCACAAAGTCAAAGATCTCCGAAAAAAGGTTGGAGAAAGTTCGAAAAATTATTTTCGATATGTGTAATGTAAAAAGTTTTTCGGCAATTTTGAATTCCTATCGAGGGTGATTTCGGGACCTTTGGACGCGATTAGACACACCATACTTGGCGAAGATGCTCTTGAAGACACAATAAATGCAAATAACACCGAAAAACCCATGTTAGCCAACATGTGTCAAGGCATGTATTTAGAGGTCGATTTTGTTGGCCCCTGCATCAAGATGTACGTGTGTAGCACTCTTATCTTGGTACTACTGTACTTTTTTATATATTTAGTACAACATCTCAAGACTCGGGGGAAACACCGGCCAATGTTATTAAGAGAGTGGGTGATTTCCAACCACGGCGATGAATAAAAGTCTATTGCTCATCACTTCTTTTTCAGATTTGGTATCATGGAAAGTTTGGGAACCCGCTCGATAGGCGAAAGCCTTTGGGGAATAAAAATTACAAATAATTGGGTGCGCCTGCACATAAGTAAAGTAAATTAAAAAAATGCGCCTGCAGATGCCCATGTCAGTATACGTTTAGGCTTTTGGGAAATTGCAAACAGACAAAGAGAAGTGTTGTGCAAAGCCATGCTCCACCCCAGCTGGATCAGTGACGGCAGGTTGAAGAGACGAGCGTAAACTTCATCGCTATTCTTGTTCTGCTTCTTGTCACGTAGCCAACCAGGAAATCGCTTTCATCTTTACCTTCTGATATTCCAAAAACAAAACAAGCCACTAAAGTTGATCGAGGCCCGGCTGTGCAGCATTTGATGGTTATGTGATATTCAGTAAAGAAAGAAAAGAGGGAGTTTGGTCCGTCTCCCTGCGCAAGGACTCTTAATTAAACCTTCATATTCACATAAACGCCATCTTTCGCTGCAGAGCCTCCGTGACTTATTCCAGTATCGGCGGAGTTGGTCTTCACAGTCGGTGTAAGAGCCATCGGCGAATTGGTTGTCTTCTTCTTGTTCGTTTCGTCGCGTGGCGTTTTCTTCTTCAAGTCGACCATAGTGTAGGACTGCACCCGCACAGCTGTCGTAGCAGCAGTAGCTGCGCTGACGTTCGGGCAGGGTTGCAGTACGGTAGGTGTGTACGACGAGATGCGCTGCGGCTTGCTAGGAGCACTGACGCTGTCTCTCTTCCGCACGGCTGCGTGAGGCACGCCGTCATCTGCTTGTCCACCTGTTGGCATTGTTGTCACCGTTTCCTGGTCCACATCATACTTTTCGTAAACATCAGCATGTGAATTCTCTGCGTCAGGAGGTGCATTGCTCTTGGCTGTTGCTTCCGACTGCTGGCGAGGTGCGGCTACGGGTGGCATAATGCAATCGGATACCGCCAGAGTCTTCATGATGTCATCGAGATCGTCGTTCAAATGCGGATCAGCGTACATATGCTCATCTTGGCCATCGTCGCTGACCAGATTCTCCATACTGCCCAGGTGCCTGCCAATGGGTGTGCTGGGCACGATTCCGCTCGGTCGACTCTGGTCTGAGAGGCTACTCGCGCCGGCACTAATGCAGCTGTTGCGAGGTACCGAGTCCGATGATACGATAGGGCGGTCCTTACGCTGGCTTGATAAATTGGACATCATATCCGTGGGTTGCGCATATTGCTCTCCAGGCACGTCCGGCTCTTCCTTGCCGTTTGTTTGGCCAGAGTCCAGCATGTCTTGGCTGCGAGACCTATAGCGAGAGAGTATGAAGCAAAGCGGTAGAAGCAAGGCAACCAGTACCATGACCACCATCACGACTATGACGGATAGACTGGCGGGCTGGGATACCCAACTGACCTGCTCCTCTGTAGAGTGAAGCAAAAAATACACACAAAGAAGAGTGCTCGTTTAGTAGAGTTCAAACAAATCTACGCGCATCGATCACGGATACATTCTGTGAAACATTTGGAAAGCGAAAAAAAACAATACTGATTTTGCACACGGATATTTGTCGGGTATTGACACTATCCAACAGGACAGGAACCCACTCGGGACTATATGCAACTCAGAGCTTAGTGCTGATAGAACAGTCCAACACTAACATAGCCACGATATTCGCAAGTCAGAACTTACAGCAGATAGCACAATACTGACGAGTGGTACTGCAAATAAACGACCTCATGTGGAGCTCCATCACAGCCCGAATGTACAAGACAACAGCTTTCCAATGTGGATTTTATGAAAACGACGACAGAGAGTCTTCCTTTTTCAATTTTAGTCCTTTGGTCTCCTTCTACGGCAGCTGTTCTTGGTTCAGGTGGGCAAACTGAGCAACTACAGAGTGCGTTACTCACACTCGGTGGTTGCTCACCCATGTTGTTTTTACCGAAGACACAAGCTACTCGTAAGAAGAGGGGAGAGAAGTAGCAGGCCAACACAACAATGGGAAGAGTAGGGGCTCCAAGAAGGAACCTGTGCTGGTGAGGCAGGCCAACAATTCCGACCTGTGGACTGGTCTCTGCGGTACCACGAGCTTGCGCACCATGCGAGTTTATGGGGAGAGGAGAGAAGACAACGTGGACATGGGATTATTGGGAACCCACGACACAGGCAAAACCAGTATAATTACCACAGTTGTAGGCATGTGCACTTTCAGAAAAAAATTAAAAAATTAAAAAGTTATATTCACTGAAGAGCGGAACACGAAAATCGATTTTGAATAATATAAAAAATCCTTTAAAATTCCATTACCTCGTTGTTGTCTGGCCATGTCTGCATCTATTATACTCTTTATTGCACTTATACATGTATTCAATTATAGCCTCTTAACAGTAAGCATCTCACCAGTCGCCTTCTTCACACAAGCCGGTGCTAATCCAGTCCAGTCGCCGTCCATCTTACACTTCTGTGTTCGCGAGCCCTCCAGTTCGTAGTCATCATTGCAGTAGTAAAATACCTCCCGACCGGCGAGTGGAACCTCAATGTAGCCAATGAGCTCGCCATTCGGAGGTGCTTCCTGCTTCCTGCACTTGGCCTCTGTGGCGTCACATGGAATAGCGGACAACAAACATCCACGAAATACAAAAAAAGGATTACATGTGGTCTGTTGATTGAGTTATTATGTCGTGAAATATAGAATCGGTTTACAGCCGATGCGCCCGCATGAGCAATGCGTACGATACCGTGTGTAATAGAATACATAATTCAAGTTCAAAGGCCAACCAATCCGCGTGTGTCTATTGTTTCCACTGCATTTAGTGTTTACCTGACAACATGATGACTGGGCATGATTTTTAAACTCTTACTGCAGCCCCTGAAGATTATTTATTATTATTATTATTTATTCTTCTTTTACTAGGGAATTCCCAACAGGCGTCAGCGCCTTTTTACAGGGAACCCTAGGTATCCTTCTGAGGCACCAGTTCCGCAAAGATGTACTCTATTTTGCATAGAGACAGGCCCAAAGTAGAGAGGAAACTGTACAGAAAATACCCCATACCCAATACCCAACAATTGGCAATTACAGTGGTCAATCGCGCACTCATAGTTTGGTAGGAATATTACCTTCACATTTCCCCGGGGGGTTGGACCAGTTTCCACTCGGCATGCATTTCGACGGCTCTGCCTGCGTGCTTCGGTATCCCTCTTTGCACGTGATGTTGAATGCACTGTGAACCTCCAGTCCGTCCAGCAAGAGGTATCCATTCTCTGGTCGTGCAGGTGCTTGACAGTGGATTTCTGAGCATATGCATACGGAAAGTGCGGGGACGGCAATGAAAAAGTCGACAGCCAGCAGGACATTTAACATAACGTAATTATTATTATGATGTGTTCAAAAAACCTATATTTTGTATGTGCAAATATGGTTTATTGCTCCGACTCCAGTTTCATGCCTACATCCATTTGAAAGGTAACGCGGTCCGTTTACACAAAGGCACACAATGAAAAGGTGGTTCCTGGTCAAGGTGGTTCTTGACCAGGGAGTTGTACGACTCCTTGTTCTTGACCTGCCCGGTACGCGAACCCGTCGAAATTTTTATTTGAATACCTATTCAAAAGACCATGACGCTATGGCAATTGCAGATGGTCAAGGGGAGAAGTGCCACATAAAATATTTTGAAGTCTCTCGAAAGGAATATGGAATATGGGTGGGGGGCGGTAGAGGGGTGCTAATCAAACAATAATTCATCGCTTGCCACTTTAATCTTTCTCGCCGATTTTCCTTTCTCTGTATCCACTAGATTCACGTGCATTGAAACAATGTGTTGAAGTGAAATTCAATATAGGCCGTGACCAGAGGCTAATGGTGGGGCACGAGTGCTCGCCTTCTCTGGCAATTTGAAAAGCTTTCTGCGGGTATATTCCTCCTGCACTCACTTTCGCACGTCGGGAGGCTATCACAAAACTGAAGACCTTTGGATTCAGGAAACATCACTTCACAACTCCAAACTCCAAAAACGGTCTCTTCATTGCAATTAAAATCCAAAATTACATTACACCAAATTATCGGGCCTGGCCCATCATCAGAGTACCGGTCTTCAGTTTTGAGATACCCTAATCCTTCTTTTTGCATTTCGAGGTCGAAGGTCTCATCTCTGACTTCTGAGTAGTCCACATTGAGTAATGTAATCCAAAATTACATTACACCAAATTATCGGGCCAAGTAAATGTGTAAGTGGCTGCGTTGGAGTTTGCGGAAAATTAGAAAACTTTATCTTTGGATTTGTCCAACAAATTCACACTGGCAGGTTGGCATTGGAGTTGATTCATTTTCAAAGATGCAGGTTGGGTGGATGAAGTAGGGGGGGGGGGAGGGGCAGGCCTGGGCGGATAATGCTAGCATTATAAGTAGCATTATAGTGTGCGATTTGCAACGCTAGCATTGCTAGCATTATAACACTACATTTCCACAAAAGTGGCATTATACTCACATATGGAAGTTTTGGCCACTACAAAAAATGGACCGTTACATTCCTTGTACATAGAACTGCACAACCTGCATAGGATTGTCCAAACTAAGCCATTTTACATGCATAGTATTGCGGTTTGCCTGGCATTATGGAGCAATAGCAGCATAAAATTAGCATTATGATCATGATTTTCTAGCATTTTCCATGCCGTTTACGTAGAACTACGAAACGTGCACAATACTGCCCAAACCAAGCCATTTTTCCATATTTACTACTGGTGAATTACTGGCATTACAGAGGAACAGCATTATGATCCAGTTTTTATGGCATTGCCATTAGCATTATCCCGCAAAATAACTAGCATTATCCGCCCAGGCCTAGGGAGGGGGAGGTGCTATTCAAACAATAATTCATTTTTGCCACATTCTTTCTCCTTACCTTTCCTTTCACTGAATCCACTAGATTGCATAGATTCATTGTGTCAAAGCGGCATTCAATAAACGGCGCAATGGGCAGGGGATAATGGTGGAGCAAAAGGCTCACCCTCTCGGGGATTTCCTGATGAGTTCACCTGCACTCACCTTCACACGTCGGTAGACTTGTCCACCCGCCGAAACGCGTACACTCCACCGTACTGTTGCCCACCAGTCGGTAGCCACGTGAGCAGTTCACTTCAACTTGCTGTCCAATATCAGAGTACTTATCCATTAGGCCAGCGCTGTGAGGGATGCTTGGAGCAGGACACCGAATGGCTGCAAAATTGCAAAGTGGATTTAAAACCAAGTCAGGATCATTTGACTACACTCCTGTGCTATACAGGTAATATGTGTGAGAAAACAAAGAGGCAACAAGACCATCAGTGCGTTTGGCCATATTCTGCACCGGACACTGAACATCTGTGCACTTCGCCTCGGGAAGGTCTGCTAAGTTCAGGAGGTAATACAATAATGAAATAGTTTGTGCAAATCACAAACATAGCCACTATGCCATTCGAACGGTCAGTTGCTTTGTACGTGGCATCACTTTTAATGTCAGCAGACATGCAACTCTAGTCATTAGGATTCTTGGCGCGATACCCGTGCAATAGGTGGCATAATGCCATGCCAATTACAGAGCCTCGAAGGGAGAAGCCACAAATGTTGTCGGTGAAGTCTCTTGCAGGCACTATCTACTATGACAAAATGACATCATTGCTCAATCTGCAAATGAATCTCAGAAAGATTCCCATCCCGATTAGGCCTCTTAGGCGCCTTGGTGCAGTCGAGTGGGCCAGATGTTTTCTTTATTCTTTATTTCCACGATGGCCCATGGCCAATAAGGAAGATAATATGATTCAAATCAGTCCAGAATCATATAAAATCAGTCTAGCAAGTAGGGAAACAAACACATTGCAGGGGGATGGGGTTACGAATCTACTTACGATGGGGTACAGATTTGCAATAACCGTGAGAGAGTGAAGGGAATTTGCTGATCAAAGCGCTAATGACTAGCGTTTCTCATGACCGAATAACTTTTGTAAAGGGATTCGGCGAAATAAACTCACGCTGGCAAGCTGGCATCGGCGTTGTTTCCGTAACAGAGATGCAGGTGATCTGTGAATTCCCAACTAACTTGAAACCGACATTGCACCTGGCCATGTAATAAGGGGAAGTACCGGAAACATTTCCATTGGCCAAATGTGGAGCTCCACACTTATGGGCTGCATTTTGAGGGACGACAAACAACAAAAAATACAAAAATTGATACTTCTCAAATGCGCAGTTACACATCCATCACATCATCACAAGGCACACCATGCCACACATTAATGAACACAGGGTTTGTGTAGTCCTCAATGTCAAAGGTTACAAGACAACCGATCCAAGACTGATGACCAAGACATTCCACGGTTCCCGTGAGATGCAGTCAGACACAGTATCCTCAACCGTGGGTAACGCCATCACTCTCAGACATCAGGGAGAAGGTACAGAACTGAGAGAGATGAGTAGACCTGGACCATAAAAAAGCTGAAATTCTCGTTCACTGCATCCATGTTTCCCTCTTGCTAAGCAACAAGTTCTCAATTCACTGTGGCCCGCTGCAAAGATGAAAATACGCACCAGCATTCAAGCAACACTTGAGCCTGGTACCCTCTGTTTCTCAATCATAGTCTCAGACCATCCCACTACAATTATCTCACTACACTGCGAAAATATCAAACTTTGAAAATACTTTACCATGGCATGTGCGATTTCGGGATGAATCCCAGGCAGTTGGAATGGTTATTGCATCGGGTTGTTTTACATAAGTTGACACACAGGCGCGATTGCTGGGGCCGTCAAGTCGGTGGCCGATGTTGCATGCGTAGAAGGCCTCTGATGGGAACACAAGTCCTGATGGATACGTGATAATCCCATTGGTGATCGGAGGCAAAATTGGACATCTGTTGGTGAGATCTAGAAAATTAGAAGCACAATGCGCAAACAAATAATTGCCTTTTCCTTTCTATATTTTAAAGGTGGAGTGTGACAAACCAATCTCGAACCAATGTTTTCAGTGAGTCACACAGACAACAGGCCGGCTATGGTACTATATCTGTGCATGTGACAGTGGTTACTGGTAGTCAGTCCACTTACCTATTTCGAAGGCAATAACACACAAACATACACTACAGAGAACTTTGGGGTACAGGGTGGCGTGAGATGGGAAGGAAGCAAGTACAGTGGTATCGTCTGCAAACAAAGAAATATTGGGAATTGCATAGGGGAGGTCATTAACGTATGTGAGGAAGAGCAAGGGACCCAAAATGGAGCCCTAGGGCACTCCGGACGTTACAAATTCGGGGTCAGATATGACGCGCTGATTTCGGTCAGATAGATAACTAGTTATCCAGGCGAGTAGGGTGCAGGGGACACCGTGGGCATGAAGTTTGGCGACGGTGTCAAAGGCCTTGGAGAGGTCGAAGAAACAGATGCAAGAGACCTGCCGCTGGTCTTTAAGAGAGCAGAGGTCTTGGATTATGCGGGGAATTGCAGGGATGTGTTGTCCTTACGACGGAAGCAAGATTGTGAGGGGTGAAGAAGAGGGGAGAGATGGTCATACAAGCGGTCGTACACTATCCTCTCTAGCAGTTTGGAGACACAGGATAGGAGGGAGATTGGGCGGTTATTAGACGGGTTGTTTTTGTCGCCTATATTTTTGTACAGTGGAATGACAGTGGCTGACTTCCATCGTGACGGGAATGTGGCAGAGGAGAGGGATAGGTTAAAAGGAATGGAGAGTGGGCTGGCAATTGAGTACCTCAGTTTCCTGATAATCTCATTGGTGATCCTATCAGCTCTGGGGGATTTGTTCAGCGGCAGCCTTGCGATATACTTGTAAACAGTCAATGAGGTGATGACCAGGGAGTGCAATGTAGTTGCTGGTGGAGGTAGGGAGGAAATAGTGGGAATAGGAGCATCGGGGTCAACCTGTAAGCCAGCACTGACGAAGTGGCGGTTCAATAAGTTACCAATGGATGCCGCAGAGGTGCTTGTTCGACCGTTGGGGCCTACCATCTTCGAAGGTATGACCCGCGCGCTGGTAGGATTTTGCAGTTGACGAATGAGCACAGGGAGGGATGGGAGGCGAGGGTTTGTGGGAGATATCGTTGCACGGAGGTTGCGGATGTAACAGCGATGGCAGGATCTGGTAAGGTATTTGGCCGGCGATCTGCGAAAATCACCCTTCGGTGAGATGTAAATTTTTCGAGAAAATCGCGATTAAAGATTGATCACTGAAGCGTGACCAAGCGCAAACTCTGCCAGCAGGTTGTCTTTGGACAGTCACGATGGCGGAAGGTGGAAGACGGCGATCGCTGGCTCAAACCGTTATAGGCTTCTCGGTGGATGATACTTTTGCCCTCCTGGACCATGGACGATGATCTCTTATTTTTTTGGGAGCGACATCGAGTGCTCAGATGGGAGTCCTGACGACGAGCCAACTGAGCTCGCTACGGCAGAAGCGCTAGAGAGTGATGCGGAGGAAAATGTTGATGAATTGGCGCCAGCGCAGGCCGATCAGCCTCTAGCTGCAAGTGGTCCCGGTAAGCGAAAGCGAAAAGGTCAAGCTGCGACTGTGTCAACACTTGAAGACGTTGTCGCTCGCGTTGAGAAAGGCTCTGGGTGTCAGGGTGCGAACTGCTTCACCAACGTCGCACCTGACGACATCCTACGCGTTCGCAACTTGGCGGCGTGCTAGGAGCTAAGCAATGAGAGTTTGTGCTGCTTGCTGGGAAAGCTGGAAGCTCTACCGAGACGTGGTGAAGTGTCCCATCACGTGGCGGCAGCCCAAGCTGGCGTCAGAGGTCGGATTACGTTTGAGTATGCTTTTGCTGGAACAGCAGTGTGCAAGGCTCTTTTTATTTATGCACATGACGCGACAGAGCATACAATCAAGAGTGTCCAGTTTGGATAGACCAATCTGGATGACCGCACAATTGCTGTACTGAAGTCTACTGTTCATGTCGCCTCCTTATTGCCTGCTGGTCCGCCTCCAAGTATCCCGCCAGCAGGATGGCCCAACCAACGTGCAGAATACCTCTGCAAGCAGATTCGACAACACTGCCATGAGGAGAATAGAGATATTACCTGCCCAGAACTAGCAGCAGGTGCTTCACTGCCAAAAGAGCCCTAATTGGACTCGTGTCGACATTGTCATGTCAACAGTAGTTATTTTTCTTCTCTCATTGCCTGTAAAATAGCATTACGAAAGCAGAAAACATCAGCAAAGTGTTGGGCTATTTTCCCAAATTCTGCACTGGAGTGTCCTAGACAAACCACCTCATATATCCGCAAGGAGCGATCAGACTGCCCTGAAACTTTGGTATTTTGAGTAGCATGGAGATGTGGTTGTTTTCCATGAAAACTCATTTTTTGCCAAAAAGTCACCAAAGGGTGATTTTCGTAGATTACTGGCCATTTTACGTAGTTGCGTTGGTGTTTGTATTTGTTGAGATTTGTTGGGGATGGGTATTTCCGGTAGATGCTGTAGAGATTACTCTTGACTTTAATAGCTGCTTTAAGTGATGCGGTCATCCAGGAGCAGGGTTTGTGGCGTGATTTCCGACGATCAGGTGAGGATCTTCCAATATACTTATAGGTGCAAGGCACCTTCGAGGATGTCAGTGAATGCGGAGACAGCCGTGTCGAAGTAGTGGGAAGCAAGGACCTGAGACCATAGTACATCTGCGAGAAAAGCATTCGTTGCATTCCACATGTTATCCGTGGCACTCCGGTCATTGTATCTTTGTGTAGATGGTGGGCTACGACAGGTGCTGGCTGGGGGGGGGAGACTTTGAGGAGGAGAACTCAGCCATCAGGACGGCATGGTCTGATGCGCCAATAGGAGGCAGATGTTGAATGTGGTTGAGTTGGTTAGGGATGTTGCTCGCGATAAGGTCTAGACTGCTGCCAAGTGGGTGGGAAAGGTCACCGATTGGGTCAAACTATAGCATGAGAAGAGGTTGTCAAGACTCAGATCCTGTGCATCCGTCTGGCCAGTTGGGCACCAGCCGGAATACCTACAGTTGAAGTCGGCTGATATCACAAGGTCTTCGGGCTTCCTTTGACTTGATTGCAGGGCTATTTGGAAGCGGTCCAGAAAAGTCGAAAACGTCATCCGGCGAAGAGGAAAGAGCATGGTAGATACAGGCTACTGTTAGTTGGGGTGTAGGTAATACAAGTTTATGTTCAGCGAGTGTGAGCCGAAGTGCTAGCGCTTCCAAGCGCGGTTGCTGAAAAGCCGGTAGCTGCTCGATGGAAGTACACAGACCTTCACGAACTAAGACTAGAACTCCTCCGTGTGGGTCACAGTTCTATTTTCTAAAACAGGTCTGTCTCGACGGAAGCATTCATAGTGTGGCACGTGGAAAACTTGTGTGGGAGTTAGCCAGGTCTCTGTAATGCATATTATAGGGCATTCCCAAAAACCTGGAGGCCTTCTTACGGGTCCCCATGAATTTTACGTAATGCATATCGAAATGGGCCATGGGAATAGGGATGCAGCAGTGCGAATAAAAGATGGAGTACTATTCTATCTTTCTGCAGTCTACAGTGCTAAATAGGAAACAGAAAACGGACAGTAACGTGAACAAAATAGGTACTATGAATTTCTACGGAAAACTCGGTCTGACCGAGCCTCATGGAACCGTGGCATTTATCCTCAGGCTCATAAAACCAGAATTGCATTCGACTCATACGACAACAATGTACATGTGTGTTAGTGCCAGTAGAGTACCAACCTGCGGCCTCAGGCTTGTTGAACTTGCAGATTGTGACGTTGGTGTTACTGCATGCTGGTCCTGGATAGCAATGACGGTTTGTTCCAGTACTTGAAGTCAACCATGCTGATACGCTGTTTCCAGGGCGCCCTGTGGCTATGTGCGCAAAGAAAGCGAGCAAGCAATTCCTGTTTGTACCGCTAATGTCCGTGGAGTTGATCAGGGCAAAGCTGATAGTTGGCGTTATTGTCTTGCACTTATGTACAGCTGCAGTTGCGTTGTTGTACTTTGTAGACCAGTCCAAACCACTGACGTAGTATAGACCAGTTGGGGAGTTGCAATTGAAATGTTCTGAAAAAAACCAAAGAAAGTGATCCAAAAATGGTGCGATTTCAATCATTGTGTCTGAACCTCATCCGCATCACTCGTCTTAGCTCGTAAGTGAGGCCCCTAAATCCTTTACATGCATGTATGTTGTGTCTTGGAAGCCCACAGTAAAATTAACTCCAGGACTCTTCCAGGTTTGCTGAATAAATCGTTACCTTTCCAAAATTGTAGCATATGTACATGTACGTGCACGTGATTCTTTTACCTGACACAGAACACATCAATTATTATTGTTACCTAGTATCGAACATGCTGCGGATTGAATTCTGCCCTCTATCCTCCTCCGGACATTGCAGTATGAATCCCACCTTCCTCTGATCCAATGCACCAGAGCATGTCCCCAGTGAATACTCACCCACATGTTGGCCTGCCGATTGAAGCGTTCCTATGCTTGCTAGGAAGAGAAGCCGGGACACTACATCTCGAGTACTGAGCGACATACTGACAGCAGTCCGGGATCTTCCGTTGACTTCTTTCTGAAACAAAGCACAAAGCAGGACACCTTTGTCTGTCACAAAGTTATGTTGAATAAAAGAAAAGAAACCGGGGCTCCCGAACCAGGCAGGCGCTCATTAGGTCATCAGCCACTCTGTTCACAAGCTGCGCATTTTGATGTGATAAAACCCAATTTTGCGGAACTCTGAGAGAAAGAGACGTACCTCGAGTTTCAAGTTTATGCAAAAACTGCGCAGTCTCAAGCTCGCGGAGCTCTCCAGTTTATCTTGTGTGAACCACCGCTGTGCTAGTGCAGGGGTCCACAAAGACTGAGTAGTCTGGGTTAGTTGACGTTGCAGCTAGCTGCGGACGTTCGGAAGTGATACGTGCGAAACGTTAGCAGCAGACGGGTACGGTATAGAAGATTCTATAGATTCAAACTTCCAGAACTGCATGATTGTACTAAACAGTACACCCCAATGACTGTACTGTAGTCTGGCAGTGGACACTACAAATACAATCATGCATGTGGTTTGCGCTGGGTCAGAGGTGACAGCTTTGAACAAGTGTCGTTTGACACTTCAGCCTTTTCCAAGTGGACGGGATATAATTTAATTCTTATATTCCCAGATATAGAAATCGTCATGCACTCGCGGAAGTCCTTGCTTTTCAACGGTGATCGGGAATGGATGAAGGAAGACAGAAGAGGACGTTTCGACGTGATTATGGGCTGCTTTGACGGTGCAGAAGTCCGCGAGCTGGTCGGGACACATACCCTGTCAAAGCTATTGGAGGAGTTCAACAGCGCGCACATCAGACTGTACTGCGATAATGAATTAGCGGTTGGTTGGTTGGTTGGTTTATTTTAATTCGCATAATAAACAGGAACTACAATAGGCCCAATAATAATAAAGGCGAATGGATAAGCCGCGTTTAGGAAAGAGAGGACAGGAATTAGAAAATTACGAAAGAACAATTATCTGACAGAGGAGTCAAGCGAGTATCAGGGGTGACAGGGTGGTCGAGGAGAGCTAGGGGGCGGGCTAGTCTGAACAACAATATGGTAAGCAACTTATTCTAAACCTTTTCTATCTTGCTATGGTCCAAACATCATCCGGCAGCAGGTTCCAGAGTGCAGATCCTGCCACGGACGGCCGAGAAGCGCCAGAGGGAGTGGAGGGTGGCTGACTGAGCAGACCACTGGACCTCTGATGACGGGTTCCCCTGCCAGTAGATATGACGAACAGTTCCGACAAAGTGGCACTAGCTTTCCCGTGAAGGCACCTCCAGACAAACACTAGTAGCTTGCGCTTGCTGAGTTCGCCTACGCGGTACAAGCCGTGCTGCACCAGTACTAGGGGATGCACGGTTGTGTGGGGTGGGTGGCCGTCGATAGCTCGGATAGTCCTGTTCTGTAGCAGACCCAGGCGATCAAGCTGGCGAACAAGGAGCGCGGGGAAGAAGGCAATACTGCCATAGACTATGTCAGGGATGACAACAGCCTGGGCGAAGAGACGCCGTGCAGATCGGCGGTGACCAGAGATGCGACTGGCAGTACAGCAGACCGAGCCAGAAAGACCATATGCCAGATTTTCGCAAGTCTTGATTTGAACCTGACCATCAGCGCTGGCATGAAGACGGTAGATTTCTTGGATGTGACACTGGATATGTCAACCGGGAAATACAATCATCCAACAATTGCCAAAGACGATCAGCAAACGACTAACAGACAGTTTACCAAGTGACCGACATGTATTTGAGGAAGCGGCACCAGAGTGCGACGATGCCCTCGGAGAGAGTGGATATGTGGAGCGAGCCGAGCATGTAGAATAGAGGAATGGGGAGACACGACGAAGAAAGAAATATAGGCGGCCACGACGAAGAAAGACATATAGGCGGCGCAATATCACATGGCACAGCCATTTTAGCCTGGTACCCACCACACAGCTGATTGAAGTGACTTTTTCTGGCCAGTGAATCCGCATTTTTCATTTTTCTTTTTTTCTTTTTTTCATGAAGTTGGTTGTTCCAACGAGGAACACACGCTTCTTGCCGACACTACTTGACTAGGCCTCGACCAAATATGCTTGCGCATATTTCCGCATATTTTGTGAGACAGTTCATATATGGCATATTGAGCGACAAAGGGAATATTGGAATGAAGCCAGCATATAATTCGAAAATTCTGAAGAAAATGAGGACAAAACATTCATATTATGGACAAAATGCGTTCAGAAATGCCTTTTATGGATGAATTTGGAATGGTTGAGGCGTTTGCTACATTCCTCCATGGATTAACACTATCACTACGGTTTCTGCGGACACACCCCAGCCATACTATTCCGCATGTGTTTTGATTTGCACCATAAGCATGATAGCCGTGAAGCCAATGAATATTCCAAGGTTGTAATTTTACTGAAATGATCTACACTTTCTGCTTTATTGTCGAGCATATTCTGGCATATTTTGGCATATCTTTTTGCATATCTTGCTAAGCCTTTGGCATATTATGGACGTTTTCCCTGATATGCGACGAGCATAATATGCTCTTTTTTTAGCATATTTGGTCGAGGCCTACACTTGACACTTGACTGACTCACGACTGCCATCCGGAGCACACGAGGAGCACGTCGCACCTTCCACTCGGCAAACCTGCAAGAAAGCACCGCTCCCTGCTCAATACACAGTGTTTCGGGGAGTTCACCCCTCATCAGTTGAGCGTGAGTAGGCTGAGGAAGATTGTGTCTGGAAAGCGAAGAGCTGCGCTTCGGTCCTTTTAGCTGTGCTGAGGAGCTCTAACAGAGCGAAACAGTTGCTGTCCACAGATTTGAGTATATAATTATATATTATGTTTGTTTTTTACTAGCAAACACAGCCCTACTAATAATAATCAGGAGAAGAGGACAACTGAACTGCTCTCCAGGCCAAACCATAACCAGGGATACAAAATTACAGAGACGTTTTGTTTCCAGCGCGACAAACACCTCGTGAAGTCCAAGGTAGCAGCGTGAGTCAGAGTCGCTCATGGAGATGTGCTAAACAGACGTTGAGAGCCAATAGCTATTCACAACGCCGTCACCTCCAACAACAAGTCGCACGTCCGCGTGATGATGGCAGTCGTGAGTCAGTCAAGTGCCGGCAGGAAGCGTGTGTTCCTCTTTGGAACAACCAACTTCATGACCCATACCGCCGAAGTCGCAACTTCTAAGTTCTTTTTTTTACAAGTAAATTTTTTCTAAAAAGTACAAAGGACCAAGGAACTAGTTCCACTATAATGTCCTCTAACACCACCAGTTACTATACAATCAGCTCATGCGATAACATTGCACGACACTGACCGACGGTACTGACGGTCTACAACTAACTGGCTTAAAGCTCTAGCACATCTTGGATGCGCACTCCAACAGCCTTCCAACTACTTGGAAGGTTATAAGTTATAGAAATAACATAAGGAGGGGAAGGTGAGCGCAACCAAGATAAGCACGAGTTGAAAGTTTCAGCTGTGCAGGACGTTGGCGGATGTTCATGCATGTCGATGACGATACTGGCAAGACCATTGGACAATAGAGTCAACCCACGATTCAAGGACGCAAAGAAACATTCCACACAACTTGCGTGGCTCAAAAGATGCAAGATCAAGAAAAGGGGAAACTATGCGAACAAGAATCATGCAAACCCGAACGCCTCAGTAAAACAGCACTGTACTTCGACTATGTCACTTTAGATGGACAATCAGCAGCGGTAACAAGCACCAGTATAACTTAGTACCTTCCAAGTTGGAAGGCTGTTGGAGTGCGCATCCAAGATGTGCTAGAGCTGTTAGCCAGTTAGTTGTAGAACGTCGTCAGTACCGTCGGTCAGTGTCGTGCAATGTTATCGCATGAGCTGATTGTTTAGTAACTGGTGGTGTTAGTGGACAGTATAGTGGCACTTGTACTTCCTTGGTCCTTTTTACTTTTCATAAATAATCCTTGGCTCTCCATCCGTGTTCATTCTTTTTTCTCATTAATATTTTTTTTATTTTTTTATTTTCTTCAACACACACAACGCACCACATACTCCGGCATACACTGGCTGTTGGTAACCACTCAGGAGAATGAAAGAAGAGCTAGGAGAATGAGAAAAAGAAGAAAGACATGAGCGACCATAATCGTCGGGAATTGAGCCCGCAATCTTTCGATTGGAAATCGACTGCACATACCACTGCGCCATATGGGACACACACAAACACAACGCGCGCGCGCGCGCGCGCACACACACACACACACAAACAGACACAGAAGGAATAATGTCTAGTGGCAAGCAAGAACATCTTACCTCCGCAGCTCTGGTATTCAGTAGGACATGTGTAGGTCTTTTTCGAGTGCCCAGCACACGAACTTGGGTACCTTGTGCCTGATCAAACAAAGCAAAAGTCGATCTGCGTAATCCACCCTTCTATAGTCGCACAGATTCGTCCCTTCTCTAAGATGCTGCAACTCCAACGATAGCCATTATAAACGTTAACTACAGGCAGAGTTACTCCGAATGGTCTAGTCGCTGCGATTCTCATCAACATTCACCTACGTGTTGGACATCATAGCTCATCTTCAAAGCATCAACCTGTGAACTAACAACCAGCGATTAGTTCTTACCAGGAACGTGGCCCAGTAGCATCCTTCGCAGACGCAGCCGCAACACCCTGTCACTCGGTGTCTTGATAGCAGCGGCCATACGATGAGCAGGTGCATTTCAGAGCCCAAGCTTAGTGTAACAGCTGTGTGTGTGTGGGGGGGGGGGGGGGGTTCGGAATGAGTGCCTGTGGGAACAGCAGAGTGTGATCATCTGCTGGGGTTCTTACCAGGTGTCAGGTCTGACGAAACGCACAGATGTTTGAAATGCCAGCTGAGCACAGCCCACGGTGTCCCGTCACTTCGGAGCGTGACGTCTCGTCGCGCGACATTTCGAAGCGGTCATTTCGAAGACAGTCAGTTAGGAACGAGGACACTTCGGAGTGTGTCAAATTCGGCGCCAGACAATTCGACGAGAACCAGTTCGGAGAATGGCCACGACATCGCCTGTTCATTTCGTCGTCACACCCGCTTTTGCTGGGAGAAAAATCGCACTTCTTTTCGCCTGTTCATTTCACGACTCCCTGGTTTTAACTTTTCGCCTGTTCATTTCACGACTCCCTGGTTATAACTCTACACCTCCGTCCTTCAAAAGCAAACGCGAAGATCCTCCGAATTGTCCAGTCTTACGACAACCGTGAACCGCTCGAATTCCTCAGAGGAATAGCCCATAACCTTTCGTTTCATGTCAGTGAATAAGCCTTCACCGCGTATACCGCAAGGTATTTTCACCAGAATTTGATTTTAATCATTGAACCAACGAAAAGTATCCACGTTTTCTCATGTGAATTGTTATACGTTGTTCATACATGCCTTTAACTTTAGTCTCCCTTTCTCTCTCTCTCACACTGGTGTTGGTTTGTGATTATGTTGCTGATGGCTTACATGCCTCCTTACTTAAAAGCTTCTTCTAGATACTGACACTGAGACTTGCACTCACTCTCTCTCTCTCTCTCTCTCTCTCTCTCTCTCTCTCTCTCTCTCTCTCACTGGTGTTTGGTTTGTGATTATGTTGCTGATGGCTTACGTGCCTTCTTACTTAAAAGCTTCTTCTAGATACTGACACTGAGACTAGCACTCTCTCTCTCTCTCTCTCTCTCTCTCTCACTGGTGTTTGGTTTGTGATTATGTTGCTGATGGCTTACATGCCTTCCTACTTAAAAGCTTCTTCTAGATACTGACACTGAGACTAGCACTCTCTCTCTCTCTCTCTCTCTCTCTCTCTCTCTCTCTCTCTCACTGGTGTTTGGTTTGTGATTATGTTGCTGATGGCTTACATGCCTTCTTACTTAAAAGCTTCTTCTAGATACTGACACTGAGACTAGCACTCTCTCTCTCTCTCTCTCTCTCTCTCTCTCTCTCTCTCTCTCTCTTCGCCGAAAGTGGAACTGAAACTCCCCGTGATACAGAACTGCCATTGTAATAATAATTTGGTTTGACTGTGAGTCTCACTGCATTGGTGTACAAAATACCTATACAATACTACACTATACTGTATTGTACTTTGAAGCAGTCGGTCTGTAGCTGTTCAGCTGTGGGAACATTGCAATGGCGCTTCGAAACGTCGGGGGTCCCAGTTGACGTGCGATAAATTGTCGTGGCAGCGAAGTGACGGGTTTCGAAATGTGTCCGCGACGAGACAGTTCTCGACGATATGACCTCTTTGAACTGACGCTCGTCGAAATGTCCCGCTCCTAAGTGACGTAGAACCCACAGTTTCCTCGGAGACAAGAATGCGATACTACTGTGAAAAGTAAACTTGTGTGCAACCACTTGTTATCGTAGTCAACTGGTCCACAATAGTGTCATGCATGAGGAGTATCGTTAGATATTGGCGTCCGTTTTTGTACAATTCGTTTTCCCAAAGCTTCCCCTTTCTTTATCACTGATATTGCTGACCCACCCAAGTGGGGTGGTGTGTTGTTTTACTGCTTCGAATTGTAGTTAAACTGCATTGCATTGTCATGTTATTAGCTGGTCTCATCATCGTCCTGTGACGGTCAGCATTCTTTGTTGCTGTGGGACTTAGCTTGTGCACATTCTCGCTGCGCTCACCTTCCTACAATAACCGTGAACCTTCCAAGCTGGAAGGCTGTGGGTTTGAGCACTGGAGATGTGTTAGAGCTAGGTCTCAGGTCGTTGAATGTCTCAGTAGCCTGTCAGTTTTGTGCCCTGGTATCGCACTTTCTGATCTTGTTACAGTCGTGAATAGTTTCATCATAACTCGGTTACATTTGATTTCTTCTACATGTATGATTCGAACTTAGACTAGTTGTTGGAGGTGACAGCGTTGTGAACAGCTACACTGGCTCTCAACGTCTGTTTAGCACAACTCCATGAGCGACTCTGACTCACGCTGCTAACCAACTTCATGTATTTTGATTATTATAATTATGCTGGTTCAGTATCCGAGTTCAATATAGCAAGTACATTGCATGTAACGTCATCTTGTGTTTAGCAAGAAGTAGTAGATCACCCGTCACCCGGGGACACGGATCAAAACCTGCACACAGTGAGTGCACTGAGCATGACTGTACATGTACACTACAACCTGGTGTAAGCGACCTCTGCGTTTAGCGACCACCTGCTCTTAACGACCGTTATTCCATGCACAGACAGTTCTACACAGACACTTGGGGACCTGGTTTTAACGACCACCTGGTTTTAACGACCGCTTTTGCCTGCACCGTGGGGTGGTCGCTTAAACGAGGTTTTACTGTGCATGTACTTGGATTGCACCGCTCAAAACAGCCTGGGGGCTAGTGGGGGTAGAGTTCTGTAGCACAGCAGTTCGGGTGGTCGGTTGCAACTCCGAGCTTTACGTTCAGCAATCATCCGATAACACAATAGAAGCACATAAACCTTGAGTGGTGATAGTGTCAGCGACTGGGCACCGGTTTCATAATAATTATGAAACCTACCAGTAAATCGTGAACAGCTTACCCGACTTGAGTCGGTCCACGGCCCCCGATGGCATGTTGCCGCCAGATGTGTTTACATCTCATTTCAGGCAAGGACGTGTGTCTACGCTAGTAAACAGCCCTCCGCTCAGTGATGTATGCAGCCTTCGTTTGTGACGGAAAGAAATTCTGTAGAAATACTGGAGACTAAATCTTACGCAGGTCATTGGCTCCCATCTCCACTGAATTGAAAGACTGACAAACTATGCCCTTTCGGCATCATCAGGGTATTGATGATAGATGCCACATTGTTGAGGACCAGGAAACGGTCACCAAGTATAAATACAAAACAATACTGACGGTGAATGCACACATCCTTCGCACACATCCTGCGCGCACATTTCACGGCAAGCCCATCACATTCCTCACTTGTAAGGTGAACTAAAAAAAACACAGAAGCAGTGGGAAACGTGAGCAACCGCAGTACATTAGGGAGGAATCTCACGTCTAATTGAACTCTTTATAGGAGAATATGCTTTTTAAAGCATTCATCACCTACATGTACATGTATAAAGGTGTTGACTGTATGTCATACATGCATGTGCCCAATTTTTTTTTTTTTTTACAAAAACCACACACCATTTGACGGCACAAAGCAGCAAGGCAGCGATGAGACATATGGAATGGCAGGAGTGGGGGACAGGCAGGGGTAGCTTGACCGACCAAAGGGTCTCGGCTTCGTTGCAACCCAACCGCTCCACAGTACGCATGTGCTGGGTCAGGTGGTAACCTCTAGTGGAATATCCCAAGTGATAGAGATGTCGATATGCAGCTACCATCCGTGAGATATAATCAATTAAGGGGGCAGACTGTTCATCGCAGTTGACTGGTAGCTGGCACTTCCGGACTACTACTAAACGATGTTTTTGTCGCTTGATTGTATTTCTCCAAATAGCGGTTACAAAACGCACAAAGGAAGCGAACAGCAAGGAAGCGAATGAATGTGTCATGAAGTACGAGGAGAAATCAAGCAGAATGTGGCTTCAAGTAGCTCCCTTTGCGGTAACGAAGCGTCCTTGCCCAGAATCTTTGGAAGAGGAAATTCTCAATACTTAGTGTTTGGTACAATGGTAGCCGCACCAAAAAGCCTCCGCTACCCTCGCTCTTCCGTCCCGGTAGTGCATCCTAAGTAAATCGGCCTCTCACCGGCCGCCCCGTCTCACCAACGTACAACGTGCAAGAAATACAATGTAACATGTGTGCCTAGTACTGTCGTGGACATGGACATCCAGTCGATTGACCGGGGCCGGCGCCCTCAGCCCATACAGAACGTTGCATGCAGTGCACATGTTGATCCGATTCGACGGACCCGCACCCTGCAGCGCAAATGCATGCATGTCACTCTGTGTACTGCTTACCTACGGCTGCATGGCCCGCGCCTTGGGGCCGCTGGACGTGCGACAGGATTTCCATGTCCACGAGAGTAGAATAGACACCACCATTGATGGCTTGACTACTGACTTTTCGCCAAGCTCGCATCATGTGCGGGTCACTCCATTGGCCAAGCTCTCTTCGCTTCCGCTCGCTGCTTCTCACTCGGACAAGCAAGTACTAGTACGCTGCAAGCCGATAGTACCAACGACGTTACGTGTCCCTCAAAGACGCTGAGAAAGATGGAGGTCTCAGGTGTTCTCTCCTGTGTAAAGAATACACCTAGTTTTACGTGTGAAAATTCCCGGAAGTAAAAAGTAATACAACGTGGTTGAAATGATGGAGAGACTCTCGCACGCTTCCAGGAAGAATGCGGTAGTCATGACACGATCTTCGCCCTCGTCGTAGATGGACTCCTGTTCCACAGGCATTAGTCTGTC